AATCGCCTAGCTTGTTCGCAAACGAGCTGAGAGAACTAACACAGAACTTTCACTTCATTGTTTTCAAATTTGCTAAAGAAAAATAAAGGAAATAGACTTGATTTCAAATGTTAGTTTATTAATGGTCCACTTCAAAGTTTTTTCAGGTGGTTACAGAGTGTCTCATCCGACACTAACAGCCTTAAACAGAGGCCACTTTTTATCATTAAACTTAGTCCTGAAAACACACAGTAATGCAGTTGACACTTTCTTCCGTCGATTCATTGATTATGAAACCTAGCACCTGCTGACAGAAAAATTGCACGCGTCGCTTTCATGCAAACTAGAGACTCACATGTTTAACTCTACAGGTGACGTTCGGTAACCATTTTTTCATAAAATTACGTCCCCAAAAGTCGTCTCGAAAACTTAAAAAAATGACAACCTAATATTTTTTTGCCCATTATTAAGTTTCTGTTTGATTGCATGTTAAGCTGGATGGAGATATTTTACAACCTAATATATATCTTACATCTATTGGTGAAAGTCCAAAGTATACAGGGATTCGTTTTTTTTATCTATTTGTAGCTTATATCATTCCTAAGATGATAATGTAAGACCCCGAGGCTAACTTTTTGTTCATTTCCCGGAGTGATCAACCATCCAGCAGAGAAAATAGTTATTGAGTCTCTTTCTGTATCATCAACAAAAAATAAAGTACTCTTTTGACAATAAAACAGTTCAAGTGAAATTTATGGTTTATCTGACTTCCTTACGGTGTTTTTGAATTTCAGGTCTCTCAAGGTCGATTTTAGAAATGAGAGGAAATGACCCGGTATAATTTTCAGTATTGTATTTTGGTAGTGTCTGTCTTAGCTTGTGTACTATTCCAAAAAAGTTAAAAAATCACAAATGTTGAAAAACAGATGGTACATTGTGAAAGAACTGCTTCCCTATAAGTGAAGCAAAATGATAAATAAGGGGAAATGAGCCAGTATACTTTTCAGTATTTTATCAGTTTGCCTTAGTTGGTAGTCGAGGGAGGTAAAAAGATAACTTCTAGTTATGTAATATTCCAAAAGTAGAATTCAAGGGAACAATCAAAGTGGCATGTAGAGTTAAGAAAACTGATTGATCCTCTGTGGAAGCACTGCTGAGAGACTGGACTTCATTTTAATGATCACAACAAACAATTATATCCACAAGGAAAACTGGTTAGAACTTCTTCCCATGTCACTGGCACCTTCATGACTTTGCACTTTGAGAGTATAAAGAGGGTTAGTGAATGGATCGAGCTTGAGAACGCGAAGGCAAACGGAATAGGAAGGCGTTTAGCGGTGGAGTAACTGAAAATTCTTTCAAGTGGCTGTGTGACAAGTTTTTTTTTTTTTTTTTAAAAAGACAACTAAAGAGAACAAATGCGTTAAAAAATTATGTACAAATGGACAGACGGTGCATAAATCCTAAGTATCCAATATAGCCCATTCTATAATAATGAATGTATCAGGGGCACCCAACGAGAATATAGTTAAAAACCACTTAAAAATAGCATTGTTAAACGTATTTTAGTATTTAAATGGTAGATATAGGCATCTTTTTATCCCCTAAAAATTCTTCATCAGTTCGGATTTCCTAGCTGAAAATCTAGTGATCCGAAAATTATATAGGGATCAAAACTTACCTTTTCGAAAATTTTAGCCAGAAAAAAGGCTCCCGAAAATTCTAGGTGACCTTTTTAGGGTAAAAATCCGTTAAAAATGGGCAATTATACCATTTTTTAGATGTTCGAAAATCCTAGGAGAGGCAGGCAAGCAAGAAATTTTACAACAAATGTTGCGAAAATTCTAGATCTCAAATCGTCTTCCGAACAGATATTTTCCGAAAATTGACGTTGGGTGCCCCTGGTGTATGAATGTCATATATTGGAATTGCGGAATAAAGAATAAGTGCAAAGAAGACCCTCGCAGTTAAAGTTAGTTATATCCTATTGTATAGGATAAAATGAATCGATGAAACACTTCACCCAACTGATCAACAATATCACGGTGAAAGTAATGATAATAATTAACGTCCCTTTTTATTGTTGTGTGATTTATCTCCGGTAAACTATATTTTCACTGTCTCGGTCTGTCTGAAAATTTAAACATTTCCTAACTACATCACGTAAAGTTCCGTGAGGACATTCCGTGTGGGCACCTAGAAAATATTGTGTTACGAAAAGATACATCGTAAAGTTGTCAAATCTAAAAAGCTTCATTCGTAGGTGGTAGATAAATATTGGCACAGTTTTTTGCAATGTTTCATTAAAAAAGCAACTATTTTAAGAAACGTCTTTTCCGTTGTCTTGTGCTCATTCCCATGGTTTGAGACAAAGGATAAATAGAGCAACTAATTTATTCTGACCGCCAAATGAATATTAAATAATTCGAACGTTCAACCATTGCACATTGAACAGGCATGCACCATCACGAAAGTGAACCAATCAAAATCAATTGAGCTTGCAAGTCTGTCTGATCCAGAAGAAGAGCTCAAATAAGCCTGACTTCTACTAAAATAGCTAACCGTAATCTGATTGCGCTTCTAAGTACTGCCTCTACATGTACCCTCAGGCATAAACCGGCAAAAGAATAAAAAGAAAATCTTTTAGGTTATAAAACTAGATGTATAGAATGTAAATCTGTTTGGAATTCTCAGAAAGCTCAAAATAATTAAAATTTATGGCATGAACCATAAATTGACGCCACATTCCTATTTGTCAATAAGAAAAAAATGATAGCAGTGCTATTGAACGTTGTGCACTGACAGGTCCAGAAAAACGTATAACAAAGGAGTCAGAGGGCCGCCTTCATAACCATTCCAATCTATGTATTATATATCTGCTGTTAATTGCACACTTTTTCCAGTGCACACGGTGTTGCTGGAAACTTCATTTTTATCACAAGAGCAAGGGTTTTTATTCATTGTAAGCCTTATGTCTTGCCATTATAGCTACAGCTTATTATACAACGATAAATATTTGCGAATCTTCCGCGTTTAATGGGGGAAATACTGAACAGCCTACAGCATTGTTGTTTTCAATGTTTCCTCAATCTCGCAGTAATAGTGATGTTACGCGAGACGATTCGCAACGACGATTTTTAGCACAAGACAGCGTTAGATCATTGTTGCGACATTGTTTCGAATGGCTGCAACATTGTTCCAATATTGTAACGTTGTGTTGCGTTAAAACTCGTCGTTGCGAATCGTTCCGTGTAACATCACCTTAACGGAAATTTAACACCTTTTGTTCTGAAGAAAAAAATGACAAGGTCAAGTTGCTCTTTTCAAAAAGCAATGTCTTTTCCAAAAATCTATTTTCTGCAGCCAGAATCAGATTCAGCTGAAGATCCGAAATGTTAAGCTATATTGGCTTTCATGTAGACTCTCGTAAAGGCAATATAATTTATATTGCACGGCGAAAATAATTCAAACGCGTTTCCACAACTGTCCGTTTTTTTGTGCCCTCGACAAACGGCTTGCAAGAAACACTTCATTATCTTATCTTGGCTTTGAAGAGGAATGAATCGCCCGGTTTGATAAATCAGCAGATTCGCGTCAAAAGAGAAATAAATGACAGCGTAAAAAAAACTTCGTTTTGGGCTGCGCTGATAAGCTGAAGGATGACAAATGAAGGATTCGCTGAAACTGGAGAAAGTCTGAAAAGTGAAGCCCGACTTTTTATAAGTGTTTCTCAGATCGAAGTAAATTTCCTTAAAAATTCACGTTGGTCTGTTCCGAAATATTTCTGCTGCGCTGCGGTGTTGGGTTTAGAAGCCCAATTTTGACTACAAAAAATAAATATTGTGGGGGTGTGTTCGAGCAACTCGCTCGCTACACAATGAGGTACCAAGAATCTGATTTACATCTTGGACTTCATTCTTCTTTGACTTCCGCTAACAATCTTAATCTTAATCTTCTTACTCTACTTCTCTACTCAATCCTTACTCTAAAGCTAAGAAGTCAAATATAGTTAGCCAAAGCTAGATGTTTGGGTTAACTGACCGTGGGAATAAAATCAAGGCGAACTCGGCGTGGGTTGTGGGTAATGTTTTGGTATTACTGAGCCTACATGGTTGCAATCGGCAAGAAGCTACAAACTAATAAACTAATACGCTGGTTAACAAACCCAAACTGGAACTTCCACGAGACTAATGAACCAAGGTTGGCTCTAACATCATATCTGACAATGGTAAGCGAAACATATTCCTAAAATGCACTTAACTACATTTTGCGAGCTAGGCATAAAAAAAGTACAAGTAAAAACAAAAGATCAAAACAGGAACCCTATGTGGGCAAACAGGTCAAAATCAAGACTAACCTTGACTCGCTTTATGATAAAACAAAAACGAAACTTAAAAGATGAGACAGATCTTAAAATAACTTTCAAAATACTTCTCAACAATACAAAAGAACTAGTAACCCTTGTAACACGTTCCCCATCCGGCCACCTGTTTCGCGTTGTATGCACGTTTTTTTGGTCCCGTAAGGATTAATTACACGTGTTGTCTTTGGAAACAGGCGAATGACTAGAAACCACCTATTTGGAAAAGGGAAATGAAGTTACCCCGTGTTCTGGAAACGTCAAGAACTGTTAACGTCTATCACTAAGATTCTCAGATTTGCAAATAGTTGATCGCTTATTCTATAAATATTTCTAAGTTATCATTTCGCATAAAAAAGGAACGATTTAAGACCATGCACCAACATGACCGTCCCGCCCCCCTTCCCCAAAGGCAAATTAGAGTCCTTTGTACGTGCTTGCCAAAAACGTACGCATGGTACGTGCTTGGCATTTCAACGTGTTCAAATATTAATTTAGGATATTTGGTTTGTGTCTAAAAGGTCTAAGTAAACACAGCCCACAGTTGATCTAAAGCTTTAAGGTAAATATCATTAACTTAATGGCACACCGGTTCATTTGATCACTCAGTTTTGATGAAAGGCGTTTTGCCCGTGTTTTTTATTTATCTATGTTCAGTAGATTCAGATGCAATGAACTTCATATAACAATATATCCAGTACATGGACATTTACAGAAAAAAAAGTAGAACTGTGTATTTATTTTTCTTAATGAAGGTTGATTAATGTTCCGAGGTTTTACTCCGTAAAAGATTATTTGACTTCATGTGGTATTGAAAGTCTTTATTTCAAAAACTAAATACGGCAACCTTCTTCAGATATAATCACAAGAGTCACTTCAAAAATCAAAATTAAAGAGAAAAAAATATTTCCTTTCATAAAATACTGAAAAACACATAGTCCCAAGCAAGAGATGTCAAAAGTAACTTTGGCAGAGTGGTCACACCACAGAATTTTCTCCAGAGTCCACAAAGTTAAATTGTAGTTCTCTTCACGTTCCAATTGTGACCAACATCAATTTTCACCTAACAATATTAGTACATCATTAAGACAAAAGGTTATAAGAATTAATAAAATGATCACCGTCAGGAAAATACCTTGATCTTTAAACAAATTCTCTTCACTAATTCTTAAGGAAATATATGAAGATCAGTCTGTAGAATTTGTGTGCGGATATCGGGGCTTGAAGGGTTTTCGCGCACAGTCCACAGGGTTACCAGCTTTAGCTCAACGTCTGAAACGTCTGAAAATGTTGTACAGTAGTTTATCCCGTAACACTACAACTAAAGGAAAATTCCCCATAAATCGATACTTCCTCGATAGGAGAGTCACGAAAAGTGAGCTTCTGAAAAAGAGTCATCTTTCATGTTATATCGAGAACCACTAGTTACTTCTTCGTCTTTCCTTCGTTTGCAAGACATTCTAGCCAATAAACCGCATAGTTTTGGAATGATAAAGCGCTTTTTAGCGGTGCGTTTGGTGAAATTTGCGCAACGCTCTGTTTTGGGTAGCCTGTACACAGGCTAGTTTTGGGGTCTGCCTTTAGGGATGAAGTTGGCACAACGTCATTAACATGTACTCTAAGGGTCGGCCACATTAGACTAGAGAATGTGCACTTCCAGTGGCGGGCTGAACAGCTGTGAGGCATTCAGTAAAGGAGAGTCAACGCTAAAAACAAACAAACAAACAAACAAACAACAACAAAACTAAAGCCCCAAAAGTTTGATTTACAACAAGCCTCCATTTCACTTCCTCAAGACAGCCTAAATTAAAAACATTTCATTAGGTGATTTAGAGACCTTTACGATTGGATATTCGCACGCAATACTAAAAATAATGTAAAAGGGTGTAAATGTAGTATAAAGATATTGCAACATGTAAACGCAATATACATCAACAGAAAACGTATAGAAATGTTCACAAACTTATAATGGTTTAACAAATTTCAATCTCAAATAAAATCCTAATTCTAATATTACCCTAGCAATCAATTATATGAGAAATATTTTTACAATTGGTTTTTTAAACAGTTACCAACGCGAATATTAACAACTATATATGGTCATATATACTCTATCCAGATACCACCATTAAAAATATGTAGATATTTTATATTGTTTAGTAATTTACATGTAGCTATTTGTACCAACGTCAAGGAGATTTCTCTTCCAAGATAATTTAAAACATTTCAGCATTTTTTAGTCTCACTTTCGCGTCCTTTACTCATTGCAGAAGTCCTAGAATGTGATCAACCTTCGTTCAGTCTGGAAGACTGATTTTCTCAGAGAAGGATGCAACAAGTGCTTGAACTTCGCGATAGCTTATCCACGCAGTTGCTATCAGTTTCGCCCGCAGGACATACACACTTGACTTCTTTTTCCAAGAGCTGTCACTAAACCGCCTTCTAGTCCTGTTTCAACATCAACCCGGTAAATTTGGAAGGGTTATAACTTCAAATTCGTCTTCATCCTGCGACAAATCAGGAGAACGAAACCTTTTAAGCAGGAAAAAACGTTCACTTCCGAAACGAGGCTAAGTGCAAAACCTTTCTTGTGAAAATGAGTTTCAGCTGCATGAGATTAAAAAATCGTTTTCATATCAATGGTTTGGCACTTAGCCTCGCTTTGAAACAGAGGCTCGGGGCTACTCAGAAATGGCCTACCGTAAGCACAAGTAAACAAGTTTGTAAACGCAAGAAAACAAGCAAGGGAGATTAAACAGTCACGTGGAATGCAGGTGGTAGAAGTGGTCTAGCTACGTGGCAGCGCAAAAACACAATGAAATGAAACAGAGACCAGAAATTAAACAAAAGAGTGCCAGGTCTTACTGAGAAACACAGACATAAACCAACCTCTTCATCGGCTTGTCTGATAGTGTTTCGTTGATAACAGTTTTCGCAAACTCTTTCAGGGTTCATGTAACCAAACTGGGGCAGAGGGATCTTCTGCTTTGTACAATCTCTACAGAATACTTGTCCACACGCTCTACAAATATAAAACATATCTCGTATTAGCCCATACAGCTGATAGCGGGGCGGTGTAGCAGAGTTAACGAGGGTCGCTGGATCGACCCCTACTCGCAACACCTTATATTGCCCGGCACAATGCTGACGTCCCGCATGTCATGAATAGCAACGGGAAGTTAGATGTCTCGTGTGATGGAACGATTCTGTCTCACACAATGAATCTGGATGCCTTTGTTTTAACTCTCGCTGTTCGAATTTGTCAAGTCAGAGCATTGAAAGAGAGGAAACATAAACTTCCGGTTGCCATTTTTTACGACCGCGACGTCAACATTCGCGTTGCTTAAGGTCCCTTTAACAATGACAGCCAACACAGTTCTCTTTCATGCAGTGTCAAGAAACCAAGTTGTACTTAAGTTACGTTAGGAGTTATAGGTACTAACGTGAGACGTTAGGAGAGTGAGTTTGATTTGGCTAACCTTCGTTGCTGGCGGGACTTCCGAACTTGAGAATACAGCCCTCTGTCCACACTCCTCGCTGCTACAGCTCTAGCAAATAGGACCGAGGATAGACTGCAGTATTCGCAGGCTAGGGATTTACACGCGCTGGGAACTTTTGTCTTCGGGGTGGAGCTGCGGGATGAGTCAAGACCCCGCAGCCGTAAAGCAATCCCGTCAGCTACGCAGGATAGACTGGACAGAACTCCGGATGAGAGCAGCTACTTAAGGCGTAAGATAATAGACCTTTTTAACTTGTATGCCGCTTTGTTTTCCCATTTGAGACTACATGATGTTACCCCAGAGAACTGTTTCTTTCAAATTTTGTCCTATGCAGGCGCATCCACGAGCATATGTATGCATAATTTATGAAAAGACAAAAGGCAAATTCCCTAGAGAAAATCAAGTGGTCTGAATTGGGAAAACAAAACATACAAGCCTAAGAAGGTCTATTACGCTTCACTGGCTAACATTTCAAACGCCCCTTTCACAAGTGACCTATGTCGTCACTGGACGTCGTGATCACTGGCGTGAGCAACTTAGCAACAGGCGAGCGACCCTCTCGGCCCAGCTTCTTATAAAGCAAATTAAGATTGAGTACGAATTTTCTGGGAACATTCCCGTTATTTCGAAGAATTTTGACCCGGTAGATGAACGAGTATAGGAAACACAATGAAAACACGAGAAAATCTTTCGGACTTCGGGGGACGGGTGCAGAATAATCACAATAAGGGCCTGTTTACATGGAGGTGGGGGACCCCAGACAGGTGAGGTTACATATGGCGGGTCACCTCACCTAACATGTAAACGTGATCAAATTAAAATGAGAGATTATATGGACAGGTGGGATACCTCACCTAAGCGGGTTACTTCACCTACCTGGGGTCCCCCACCTCCAGGTAAACAGGCCCTTAATCTTAATGCTTTACGCAACCGGGCCCTGGGTCTGAATGAGTTTGTAAACAAGTGTAACGGTAGGGATACGCACTGACAGGGTTGTAGTAACTTAAGGGTAACTTTGGACTAATTCTAGATACATGGTACATATCTTCATGTGTAGGAACGATGACTAACCTGCAGTGGTGCTGATTAGAGGCAATTCATAGTGAAAACAGAAAAAAGAAAACCAGTTAGTGGGAGGCGTTAACAAGCCACAACCAAATACTTGAGTGGTGTAGAGAATCAAACCATTCACAGAAAAAAAAATCTTTGAAATAATACCTTTCTCCTAAACTGAGTGAATCGTTGCTTGCAGTCGGCACATTCTCGGGCTCGGTCATCCGGAACCCAAATAACTGAATCCAGTGGCTTACTGACAACCGGCTGAAATTAACAAGCAGCAACAGTACATGTTTTTATTGGCTAACAAAAAAGGAATTATTCTATCATAAAATCTTTTTGTTCCTGTTGTTGTTTTTTTGCTATTTGTTAACCCAAGAAGCACTTAGGAGTTCCCAGAAACGTGTGTCCGTGCGTTCCTAGTCTCCCTCGCAGACGTTCTTGGGGTTTCATCACTCGTTCCTGCCCCACGTTCGTTGGGGGAGGATTGCGTGACGAATTTGGAAGTGTTGGTTTCTTAGGAGAGAGGAAAAACGGAGTACCGGGAGAAAAAACCTCATTGGTGGGAGGCGAGTGCTCTCACCACTGCCCCACCCTTGCTCCCTAATCCTCACACCTGCTTTATTCAAGGGGTAAGGCTAGGATCATTTACCAGTCAAGAGGGGCTCGATTGGGAAATGCCGCAATGCAGTAACTCGGTGGATAATCAAACTGTGGACGCGAATTGTTTCATGCTAAACATTGCGAGAATAACCATCAGGCCCTGGTTCCCGAAAGGCCGATTAGCGCTAATCCAGGATTAAAAATTTTGTTCCATTTTTGCATTTACCTTCCTATGCATTACCTAGAGTAAAATTCTTTGTTATCATCACTGTAAGCTCGAGTTACATGTTCTTATACAAGAAAACCTTGCTTAAAATTTGGCTTAATCCTGGGTTAAACTTAACCACCTTTCGAGGAACCGGGCACAGGACTAAGGGTGCGTCATAGGCGTTTTTAGTTGGACACCAAACCCACTTCTATTTTTGCAATTTCTCTTTAGAATGTGGGTCACTCCGCCGATGTTCTGTAAAATAACCGGCAATGCTGTCATCCTAATGCGGCCATTGTGAGTGAGCTAAGTAATCGTAACACCACAATGAAAACACTCTATGTTCCGCGGTATGGCATGTCTACGGTAAAACGGGCGACAAAAACGTGCAAGTTATTCAGCAACATATCTGCAAAACGAGTTGAATAGCGATGTTGCGCGTTTTACCACTCAGGAATCAAACCTGTCTTGCAGCAAATCAGGTTGTTGCAAGTTGCGTGAATACTGACTTTTGATTGGATAAAATTACGCGGGAGTTATGCCATACTCGGGAGTTACGTTACTTCCTGCAAAACAGGTTTGCCTTGAGTCGGTAAAACGCGCAGCACGAACAGATTTTGTTGCAATAAAGTAGAACTAATCTCTACTGACTTTCTTCAACAAATTTTCGCAACCTGTAACAACCCGATTTGTTGAAAGATAGGTTTGAAGGAGGCTAGTAAAACGAGCAACATTGCTTTTCAACTAGTTTTGCAGCAATGTTGCAAAACAAGTTGCACAGTTTTGTTGCCCGATTTACCTTGGCTCAACATATCGTGGTATGGTACAGTAGGGCCATTTATACGAGGAAAAATAAGACGCGTCGTACATAAGACGCGAACTGTACCATTTATACGAGCATGTCTTATCTAATAAGACGTGTCTTAGCTAAGCCGCGTCTTACTTTAGACGAAATGTGCCGTTTATACGGAAAGTTCGCGTCTTATTTAAGACGCGTCTTATTTTTCCTCGTATAAATGGCTCCAGTATGTCTATCATACCGTATATCAAAAAAAGTTGGTCAACAGATTATTTCACAGAGTTTTTTTCAACAAGTATGTTAAACGTCGTTTTTTCCACCATGAACAAGTTGTAGGAAAGGATTTTGACTTGTCTTACTTCATTGTCGCCATCTTCATCCTGAATAGCGGGATCTTGTGTTGACCAAGCGGTCTCGTCGTAACGTAAGAAGTAATCAACCCACAATTGAAGTCTTCTTGGATTTGAAACAGGAAATAATGTCTGAAAACACATGTAATGCATGAAAAAGATATGGGAACCGTTTCTCGAAAGTCTCGCTAACTTTTCGGGCCCGAAATCAAATACATGTATTCAAATCAAAAAGGCGGGTCCTAGCTGAAAGTTTTATCATATTATTTGCAAAACTATTGATACCTCGATCTTGAATGTAAACAACAACAGCTCTCCGGGACCGTTTGTCATCGGGACTTTCGAGAAACGAGCCCCAAGTGGTGGTTACTGTGGCCAGCGGAGCAGTCTTTTTCCGGGTGGAGGGAGCATGGGGAGCGAAAGGGAGCGAAAAGAGAAGCGGGAAATACAAACAGCAATGCACAAGATGACGTAAATGTCTGAATCTGTTTGCCAAACACATTTTCCACAAGTTCCTCGTGCGACAATTTTGCGGGCGTCCTGAAAAATTCCTGGACTTGTCGGCAGGTGTTTAGGGATGGTTCACAAGAGCGACGCAAAGGCAAGCGAAAGCTCAAGAACAAGAAAACGCGTGTGAACTACCTTACTGCAAGCGTCAAAGCAACAAATGGAAACTTTTCCTTTTATTAAGATGGCGTTAACGCTTGCCTGTGCATTTCTCATGAACTAGGACAACGCAAACTAAAACACAAATGTTCGACCCCAATGTTGGGATAAAAGACAGTCCAAGTTCAGATTGTGGGGATGGTGCAAACAGATGTGAGCAGAAAAGCAGGGAGGGGATGGGGTAGGGTGAGAGAGCGAAGGTCCCCCCCCCTCTGCCCCTGTCCCTCTCTACCTCCCCCCTTTTCTCCCGCTCTCTGACTTCGCGCCACGCTCCAATATGTGAACGCCTGGAAAAAGCGATGCTAACTATAAAAGCTGCGTGCGTGTGGTTGCGTTTGCAACGGCGCTCGTGTCGCTCGTGTGAACCAGCCCTTACTTTCCCCCTTCTCTATCCCCCAAGATCCCCGTTACGTTTGACACTTATTTTTGTAATTTTTGCACTGCCTCACAGGTCTCATATATACTCTTTGAAAAGGAACAAGCCGACTATACAAAAGCTAGGGTTACTTTGTATTTCTGGTCGAATTTAACAATAAAATCCATCAAACCTCGGTGTATTTCTTGTAGGTTGGATTACGGAAGCTTTCTTCATCAGCTTTTAAGTGAGCCCACAGTGATATTGTGACAGTGGGAACTGAAAGCTTCTGTCGATCATGTATGTTATTACACAGGAAATTTCCAAACCTGTAAAAGAAAGACACTTTGCTGCACACACATCACTGTGATGTAGCTGAAGAGCAATGTAATTTTAAAAAATGACAATATTTAAAACCAAACGTCCAATCTTACACTCGAAATGAGTCTATGTTGATGCACTTTCTTAAATTGCTGCGATGATAAGAAAACCACCCCGAGTCAATTAGCCAAAGCGGTAAACTGAACACCATAATGTTCTTTAAACTACTGTTTGGGTACTGCCTCATGTAAACCTAACTTTTGCAATATCTCTGATTTTTGGCATGCTGGTTGAATGCATTGCGGATGCATTGCACACGTTGCACACGCAAATCATGCAAAGAACAAAAGATATTGCAAAAGTCGGGTTTACATGAAGCACCACCCAAACGGGAAGTTAAAGAATGTAATGGTATTTTCCGCTTTGGGCAATTTTTCCAGCCCTACGGTGTATCAAAAACAACCCAAGCAAACACTGTGTTCAAAACTGTGTCATTTCGATAAGAATGCGAGGATTGTAAAACCAAACGAAATCATCAGTAAAACCGGCATTGTGAACGATGTTTACAAAACATTCACCTACCATTGAGAGTTAACATGCTCTGCTATCCTAACTAAATACATTGGAATAAATTCAAAGGCGGTTGGAAACTGCTGTAAAATCTGTAAGACGATAAAAATTGAATTAAAAACTGGTCGGTCAAAAACAAACGAAACGATAAAAAATTCTCTAAAACAATCAGAACTCGAGGGAGAAAGGTAAAAAAACAGAGAACACTCAACAAAAGAAATACGCGGGAAGACATGTGGCTGGCAACATGGATACTACCCATGTTGGTAACAAGAACGAGGAAATATGTAGCTGGTAACTAGTGGCTGCAGATGGAAAGAGCGGGAAAAATGTCGCAGCCGGGTAACATGGTTACTATCCATGCGTGATCCATGCTGGTAACAAAAACAAGCCAATGATGACAAAGGATAAAAAGGGCGGGAAAACATGTCGCTGGAAACAACTGGTTGCAGATGGAAAGAGCGGGAAAAATGTAGCTGCCGGGTAAACATGGTTACTATCCACGCGTCATCCATGCTGGTAGCAAGAACAAATCAATGATAGGCATAGAATGAAAAACGCGGGAAAACATGTCCATGGCAGTGCTGGTAAAAAGCGCAGAGGACACGCAACGACATAAACAAATTAAAACAAACAAAAAGGTTATATAGAAGTCATAAAGGATAAGAGAGATTTACAAACACAAACAAACTAACCTGCCACACACAGTCCAAGAACTGCAAGAATACGGGAGACCGCTGGCTAGGGCACGATAGATGACCAAGTCTGTCACGGAATCGGTGACCAAAGGATATCCACTCTTTTTCTATCAAAACCTGACAACGGCAATAACGACAGCAAATTAATCCAATGCTTCACAGGAAGAGAAGCTTGCAGAGCAGCTGAAGACTCGAACTATAGGAGCTCTCTGATTGGAAATTGCACGGCCGGTTTCTCAAACAGGAAACGCGCACGTACGAATTCTCGAAAAACGCTATCGCGTTGTTCCCTTAGAGAATAAACTGTACTCTACAAAGTCTCTCTCGAATCAGGTTTTCCTTGAAATCTCGCGGTCATTTACGCCACGGAGTAGTTTGGTTTCACGTGGCTTAAATGCGACCTAGTACCCGCATAAAGATTGTCAATGTGGGTTAGGGGCTATTCAAATGATACGGGAAGGACTTTCATTCTGGAACGAGTTCATTTCATCTCCATATATTCCTCTGTATTTTACCGAAACGAAATTTCGTCCCCGAACAAGTCATTCCGGATTGAGCTCGTTCTGATTTTCAATCCGACTGAAATCCTCGTTCTGGTACGAAATTTAATTCTGGTATCATGTAAACTGAAACTGGGGATCTTCGTTCCGGACTGAAACTGGCAAATCGTGCAGTCTGCATTCTCAACCCCAGTGCTTACGCTTCTGACTCCGCTTCTCACTGGCCGACATGTACAGAAGAGCTCTGGGATCGAGATTCGTATAGTTTAAGGCGAGTGACGCATGCGTATCTGACCTGGCGCGAAAACCACACGGGCGAGAACGCCTTAGGCTGAGCAGGACAATTTTATTACGTGAATGCAATACGAACTTCACACTGGAACGAAACTCCCTCCGTAATGAAAGTCATTCCGGTATCGTTTAAACACCCCCTTAGGTACTTATGTTTGTGACTGCACTCTACCTGCAATCCAGTAATTGTCCGGTAGTACGGGTCCAAAAGCAGTTGAGCAAGTGACGTCAGTTGTGACGTACGATCCCATCCGTCACTGCAATGCACGAGGGCAGCGGCACCTTTATCGACAAATCTGGCAATTGTTACAGCTCCCTAAGACACAAGTACGAAATACAACCACAATGAATTTATCTACATGAAGCTGTGTAAGTAAAATACCGCCTTCAATTTACTAGGGGTGGATAGATTTCAGTCAACTCTCTCTATTTAAAAGGCACACCTTTGTGATCGACACAATGTGTCCATCTTATTAAGAGTCAAATGAAGGGAGTAAAGAAAGGCAGGCACCTAATCTAGGTGGTTTTAGCGAGCTGTCTGTCTTAAAGGTGTCCGTTTATAAGAGAGATGTCACTGTCATCACTACTCTTAATGACTAATCATAACGTTTTGGTTTGTTTGCAAAAGTGGTCTCTAACACAGGTACTCGGATAATGATCGTCTGCTTTATTACGTTATTTACCTTGAGTATAGAAGTGATGTATGCAAGCCATTGAGTGGACTCCAAGTGCGACAGCCATTTTTTCTGTGCTGAGGACTCACACACTCCCTGCAGCCTGTACAAACTATCGCGTACAGCATGAATATTAGGAATATCAAGGAATAACAACTGGCAACCTTGATAACGGTTTATAGTGTCTTCTGTTCCCTTCCCCTGCAATACAAAAAAAATACAACTTATTAACTGGAGACACAAGGTGAGAGAAACCCGGGGACTGGAAGCGTTTCGAATGCGCATAGTCACGGCTGAGCCCTTACGTCTATCTACCTTCTATCACTTGGTATTAAGGCTGGAATTTTCTGTGCTAGTAAAGTCTATATTTCATAGCTCAGTAGGGGGTCGGACACCTCGTAAACCCTACACTCTGAGGAAACCTTACGTTAAAGTTTTAGAAAACATAATTGCAGCTCTCTTTTCTCACTTCTTTTCTGACTAAACTGCAATTTTTGGCTTCCTTTCTTCTCTATCTTATGGCATTTCCACGGAGTTTCCAAAACAATAAATTAAAGCTAGCCATTCTAAATCAGTGCCTACCCTAATCACTATAAGGATACCATCACACGGTATCGCGCGGACGAATTTTCGACCGGTTGATAGACTGGTCTAATTCTTGCGTTTAGGTGTTCCGTTCACCAAGAGAGATTACGACCCTTAACCGTACGGAAATTTAGACGCCTAGAGACGTCTAGACGTTCAAAGTTGCGTGTGAACAGAGCGAGAATATTAACGGTTTTGTGTGAACTAAGTCTCCAGTCAAATTTTTCAGCCGGTCGAAAATTCGTCCCCTGCCGTGTATACGTGGCCGAAATCGGTGAAAAACATAATCGAAGCTCCATTTGTTGAGTTCTTTTCCTACTAAATTGGGTTTCCTATTCCTAAACTGCACCTAAAAAGGCTTTTAAGATAAATGCAGAGAAGACCATCACAGTTAAGTACGCAGCTTATAGAGTAGCGAAAAGAACGTCTGAAGAAGCTTTTCTTCTACTTAAAAAGCGATGACAAATACTTTATCTAAACCTCACGAGGTGTTCGACCGCCTTCTGAGATATGGAATGCAGACTCTATCTCTTGAGGAACGTCATTTTTAGTTTCAAAATAAAGAGGAGACTGCATAAGTAAGTGAGCAACAAACCTTTAACATATTTCCGCCGGCAGCGAACATCGACCGCGCATCAAATATAACAAGCTTGTCCGTGTATTTGTTACATCTTCTTGCCTTACTTATGACAAGCTCATCGTCAATAGAATTCTGAACAGATACAGGGGTGAAAGGTGGCAAAGCAAACCGTTAATCAAAACCAAAGTAATAGAGAGATTAGGATTCACTTTTACGTCAAACGGCAGACGTGAATTTGTACCACGTGACCAAGATTTTCCCTTATTTTCCGGTTAATCGTTGTTGCTTGTACACAAAAATAAGTAGTTTTATGCCAGTTTTAACCACAGGAATCGTTCGGGACTGTTTTTATCTGCTTATTTTCTATTCTGAGAAATTCTCAACTTGAGTCTGACGTTTGCCGTTTGCAGTAAACGGGAATCTTAATCTCTCTCAGATGGGGGGGGGGGGGGGCGGCGTTCATCCCCTTCGACCCTGAGATAAAAAAGGGGGGGGGTGTCCCACACCCTGGATCTTGAAAAAAATGTCAAAATTTTTGAGAAACTATCTAATGTCAAAATATTTGACGGTTTCTTTCCCACTATATTTGATCCAGTTCTGTTCTCTATCCAGGATTTTGACGCTTTTTATGAGGAACGTATGACCCACAAAAGATATTTTGAGACCGAGGGTGAGGATCTTCGGAACCCAGGAAGTTCGCTAACTCTCGCTGTCAACGCTCTTTCCACTTCTCCAATGTACTCTGTACTGCACTCAGTCTTAATATTCCTCGCCATGTCCTTCCCCTTCACATTTGATGTGAAAAACTGGTTCCCCAAGTAAGGATTTCTGCGAGGTGAGGATCATTTGACACAAGGAAGTTTGCTAACTCTCGCTTTCAAAGTTCTTTCCGGTTCTTGTACCACATCCTACATTGTTGATATTCCTCACCAGGTCCTCCCCCTTCCTCGTCCCGACACAAATGGATTTCACCGGGGGGTGGGGTCCTTGGGGTCTATTCAAAGCTGCCTGAAGGTATTTCCCGCGAGTTGTGGTGGAGAGTGAGTCTATAGCTCTTAAAGTAAACATTTGACAGTGCCTTAGGACATCAGTCTATATGGGGAATTTTGTAATTGTATTGCGTCCCAATTTACCTTAAACGCTGGACCAGTTTTTGGCTGTGCACACCTCATAATAAAGTTTCCTTTTTTAGCATTGTACCAGCAAAGGACGGGAAGACGGCCCTGTTAAAACAGACACACGGAATAATTGGACTGACAAACAACATGACCGAGCTTTACAGTTGACTCCATCGAAGTAAGTACGCACTCGATTCACGCTGTTCACACTTGATGATTGGAGGGTGCAAATGACCTATAATACACGATTTTCAGGTGTGGATGACTCTTTCCCCCTCCGAGACCATTTGATGAGCTCAACACAGAAATTTTATCTAAACTCTAAATTCAACTTGTACATGTACCATGTTTCCTTTAAAAGCCTCTTTCGATTTTTTACTTGGCTAGTTCCACATATAAGGGGCTTTTAATTTCACAAGGTGCTATTCTCTTCAGTAAATAATCGTCGCTTTTTCAGTTTGAATAGTAACCCTTTAATTCCCCAGTGACTGACATGAATTCTCTCCTAACAATACCAATACAACATCAAGTGAGAATTAAGTGACCACCAAAGAGAAAATGCTTTGATCTTTAATTAAATTCTCTCATCTAATTCTTAAAGGAAATGTTTGGAGATCAGTAAGGATTCGCACGTGGGTTACAGACTTCTAGTTCGTGATTTACTGGCAAATAAGCGCACTTGCCGGCTGTAGAAAGTTAAAACTCGAAATTCTTCAAAAAAAACATTCAAACACAAACAATTGAAAATACCTTGCTTCGAAATGAAGCAGAGCATCTTAATGTTGAGTCCTGTAAATAATAACAATAAAAATACTGTAAGAAGAGTACAAGCTGAGACATGTGCTTCATGTACCTCAAGCAGCACTAAAATATAACAATTCTTGACACCCCGAGCGGAAGAAAATCAAATAAACAGTAAGCTGTTTGGACGCAACGGATTACACGGGCAGCAAATTCATGCAACGGCTTTTTGTGCCACATTGCAATCCTGCTCGTTTCAACAGTCGCGCGAGCAATTTGTCGCCCGACCGTAGAATATTTCGTTGTTATAAGTTGCACAAATTGTTGAGCAACAAGTTGCTGGCACAACACTGTTGCGCAACATGATGAGCGCGCGAATGGTAAAACAAGCAACATTACTATGCCACTTGTAAAACAACAATGTTGTGCAAAACGTTGCACGAGTTTGTTGCCCGTATTACTGTAACTAAACCCTTACCCAGCGATAACACAACAAATTCGTGCAACTTTTAGCTCGAAACTGTTAAAGATTGATGTTGCCCAATTTACCACCCACACGAGCAACTTCTCGAACGACAAGGTTTAGTTTTCGGGTGACAATTTGCAATGTCTTTTGAGCACACTTGCGCAAAGCAGAAGCTTTGCAACAAGTTGCCGCAGCCTAAAACAGACATGGTGCTCGCGCGGGTGGAAAAACAAGCAACACCCCTCATCAACTTTTAACGCAACAAACATTACATCGCAGCCTGCGTAGCCGGCGAACTCAGGGAGTGCTTTTTGGAAGTGGAGCCATCGCTCGTAGCGAGAGGCGAAGACGCAAGGGACTACTGGAAGAGGCGAGACCAGGATGGAAAATCCGGCGCCACCTCAACTGGACACATCTCCATTCTTTTCGCCACTTTGATGCCACATTCATTCCAAGGGTGCTTTTGTGGTCTTTAACAGCCGAGCGCGAGGAATAGCTCCTCCCCCTCCTACACCCCCACCCCTCTCCCCTAATCCCTAATTTTACAATTGTCACTGACGGTGCAATCCACGAGTCACCTTTTAAAGCATAACACTAGATAAACTTTACCTGTATTTCTGCAGGCACATAAAACAGGGGAGGATACGAATTACAAAGCAGGAACTGCTGATTGACAACGCTCACACGCCAGGCATCAGATACCTAAAAAATATACAAATATAAATAAGTGACCTCTACAAAAGGAGGCCTAAACCTACCCCAAAGCTTTAAGAGGGCCACAATTTCACGCATGCACACGACCACATTAACTGTATAAAGTGAGTAAAAAGCTACCTTTATTGTCCTTCTTACAGTTCAATGCCATATTTGAAAAACATAGGTACGTTTAACGTGCATGAGCTATTTTGAATGCGTCAGTGTAACTGTACCAGAAATGGAATCTTTTAATCCTAAATTTAGACTATCTTTGTGTGAAACTGGGTATTACTGTACATTAATGAAAACGCGAAACGCTGCACACAGCAGAGTCGATCCTCATACTATAGATTCACTTTTCTTTGTCTTTCCTACGGACATCTGGTGCAAAATAAACAAATTGTGAAAGTACTATGAATATCAAATCACCAAACGTTGTTTAGAGGGAAGACTCGAAGGCTTTAAGGTTTCTTTATGGTTTCTTAAATAATGTGGCTCGTCGAATACCGAATAGCTAAGAAATGTCACGATTTTCATCATTGTTGTAGATGGTTGCATCGTCTTTATTAACGATGTTGTCACGTGCGATTCTACTTAATGGTGATTCCCCCATTCATCTAGAACGTCTCGCATTACATCAGAGGTGTTAACATATACCCTGCACGGGCAAGCATGTTACGTGCGAGTGAACGAGGCAAACGCGCAAGGAAAAGACAGAAAAGGCCAGAAGGGACCGTCATAATCTTTCTAAAGGACAGTAAAGACACCCTTTCCTCGCAGAGACTGCAGTATAAACAAGCAAAGAAAAAAAACAAAACAAAACACACACACGGAAAACAGTAAATAACATTTTTTGAGACGGATTTCAATATGATAGAGACTTTTCCCTATATGTCCACGCTTACAAGTAACAAAACGTAAGGGTGACCGGTGGTTTTGATACAAAGTCGTTTCGATACAAACTCAAGCAATGAAATTGCACAAAAATTTCGATCACTTTAGATATAGTTTGCGCGTAAACCAGAAAAACATTTTGGGTGAATATTCTTCGTTCGTTAAGTCAAGTACCTGCAACTATCTACAACTCGACTGAATAAACTTGCATCGAAACGACTTTGTACCGAAAAGACCGGTAACAGTGTAAGCACCTGCTGTCTTGCAAACTCTTCATGAAAATCATATACACTCCAGCCACTTAATTCTGTATCCTTCGGAAAAGCCCTGCATAGAAGAGAAACACTTCCCAATAAAATTCACAGCGTTTCTACTCTAAACATCACACAGGAGGAATGTGAGAAACTGCAACGAGTACAAGCACAGGGGAGGAAGTCAAAAGGGGGAGCATCCATGTTTCTTGCAATTCTACACATGTATTCAACGATCATTGTAAATCATGTGCATTGTCAATGATTGCACGACAATATCATGGAGAGACTGCATAAAAGCACCGGCCACACCCCTCGCTTAAAGGAACGTTGGACTAGGTAACATTTCATTTTGACTATACAAAGGATACATAGATCTCATGCATGGCATGCAATTAACACTGCTCTCTAAAGTTAAATAGACAAATGAGATGCAGAAACATCTCCCATTGATGTCTAGCTAAAGCTTGTTTTAGCTGATATTGTGAACTTTAGGAAATTGTTCTTCTTCACTCACTTCACATAATGTACTGATGGAGGACTGTCCACAGCATTCAAAGCAAGATATTCTAATCTCTGATAAAATACACTGATGTAATAGTTCAGGAACCTAAAGGAAAAGACAAACAGTGCAGACTTATGCAATTACTTGTACTTTTAGCAATCTGTACAGAAAATTGGTGCAATTTAAAACCATGCACTAAATTGTGGAGCACAGCAACCCTAACGCACATACATCAATATATCAATAGCCTAAATTTGCACTCTTAATATTTACCATAAATTTGAAATGTAGTAGCATTGAAGTAAATCAGTAGCAAAGTTATTCAAGAAAACAATATACTTTAAGCCATGTTAAACATAAACTAATTAAAGGGGGCATGAAACGATAACCTAGGGGAGCTCATCTGTGACAGCTATTATCGTCCTGTACAGAGAGCTACACTACAATCCTGATCAAAACGTTTGGGACACTTTGTCTTTCACGCGCAGAAATTACCATTCAAGTTGTTCCCCCTCCCCACCAGGATAGTGATGACCCTCACTTTACACATCTTGCCCAGTTTATAGAGCCATCTTTGAACAGGGGAGGGGGGGTTGTGGGGGAGAAACCTTAGTAAGGTCATATGTATGAGTGTGTATTGCTGGTTACCTGCAAATTTCATACACAAAATGTGAAAAAAGGAAAAAGTCCAAAACCCTTTTGTAAGATGAATCATTTTTAGAGCATAAAATTCAATACTGCTACATAATGTATTGCTTACATTGCAGGCGGTATTGGCTCAGCCTTCAGTCTCTCAGCAACACTATTTATCGAGCCAGAAACAGCATTGAAAGCTGCTGCCAGTATTCCAGCACCTAGTACCCCTGATGTACCGGTGGGAACAAGAAGAGGTCCATCAGACTCATGAGAGCTGACACCTGCCACACTGCTACTGCTACTGCTGCTGCGGGACAAAATCTGAAAACTGCTACGACTGCTGGAATGTGTGATAGAGTGAGTGACATTTTCTGCTGAGTCATCTGTGGGGGGAACGTCTAAGTTTTGGTTTGGCAGTTGTTTTCCTATGAAGTGAAATCATTCAATAAATATGTACTCTGCCTACAGCCATTATGTAAGGTTCCACAAGAGGTTATCCCCAAATTCTGACCTCTAACTACAGATTAACCACCCCAAACTAAGGAAAGCACTTTAAGGGTAATTGACAGAGATTCATTGAAACATAACTTACATTTTTTGATAAGGGTCTGCAATATCAACTGCACCATGTATTATAACCATCAGCAACATATGCTAGACTTCGTACATGTGCTAGGTACATTAGGAATTTTTGGGTGTGGATGTGCCACTGGGACCATGGAACACTTAGTTTATACCAGAGCTAGTTCAGTTGAATTTTGCCAACCTATACTAGAATAAACTCTCCAAGTTCTCCTCCCCCAATCTAGAGTAGCTGTTTTCCAGAAACTACTGAGGTCACTAGCGTAGTCCAGCCAAAACAAAATCAATTTGATTTTTTTATATTTTTGAGCGGCAATTCCCGGTTTCCCTAGTCTAGACTTAAATCTTCAACCAATTGATTAATTCAACCTTCAAGTCCTTCCCCATCAGAACCAACAGACTGCAGACTTGCTTGCTTCAGATACTCCTGATTGTTTGGTTGCAAAGAGGCAAGAAGAGAATCTGGACTGGACTGCATGCTGTTGGGATCAGGAGGCATGTAAAAGGTGCTCAAATATTGGGGCTTGTTCATGAATATCAAACGGATTGTTCGGAAGTCCCAGCACTGCACAGTCAGTGTCTTTACATCAGAGAAACCAGCGTTGCCAGTCACAGTTCTAGATACAACCTTAATAAGCAAAAGGCCAAAAAAAAAAAAACATTTAAAATGTTATAGATAGGCACAAGAGATCAAGATCTTCATGTTGAAATTGATCATTAGAATTAGCGGCTGTTTTTAAATAGTTACTGTAAGTATTCAGGAAGACAACCTTTCCACACTCAAAGGAGAAAATAAAAAAAAGTCCGAGATGGCAGCTCCAAAGTGGCCTTTTTTTGCTTATAACAATAGAAGCATTAAAGGGGCTCTGTAGGGGCTCATTCATGGTCAAACACTTTTGAGGAAATAAGGCCACGATATGTCATTGTGCATAAACTGTAAGGTCCAAATACAGTTGAACCCTGATAACTCGAACTCGGATAACTCAAACTCCTGGAAAACTCGAATTAAGTCCAATTTCCCTTGGATTTCACCCCACTTTTCAGTCATTTTTACTCGGTTATTTTGAACTCGGATAACTCAAATTCTCTGCTAACTCGAACTAAATTTCCTCTCCCTTCATCAAAAATTCACTAAAATTTACCAAGATAACTCAATTTCTGGTTCTTGTAACTCCACTTGGATGCCACCCCATTAGTCCTTCTTACTGTATAAGGGTACATGTAAAAGCACTAAAACTAACACTGGTAAACACTACAGTAATTTGATTTTAATTGGTGCAACAAACAGATTACGTTTTATGATAAGAAAATGCCTAATCATGTTACTGTTACTGATGAAATAAGTTAAATTTGCACTACACTATAAACTGAAGTACTGAAAAATCAGTAACTATCAATTCTTAACAAGGCAAATTGAATTTTGCAATCAACCCCAATAACTCAAACCCTCGCTAACTCGAACGGTTTTTCGTTTTCCTTCAGAGTTCAAGTTACCGGGGTTCTATGCTAGAAGTGGTTATACAGTCATGGATCCTTGGCCCCAATCTCCCAGCCAAGCCAGCAGTCACACAATCATGAAGTTGGATAGGGAATAAGTCTATACCTCAAGCCACTAATCTAAGAGATCTGACACTAGCGCTTTAAAAGTGCAGGTATGAACAAAATCATTTGATACAGTACTTTCTCGTCTTCTCCTCTATCCACTGACTGTATATTGTTTAGTGCTACTGACATTGACATGTCCTGCAAGAAAAACTCTGTTAGATGCTATGGCATATACACTGTATGCCACATTCATGACACATGTTTTAAAACTCTGATTCTAAACAATGTTATAGAGCATGACTGAGGTGCTTTAAGGCCCACTGGAGTAGCATGATTATACTTGAAGTGGCCAGATTGATACGTAAAGTTTATTGACCTTTTTCAAAAAATCAATGAATAACTACTTTTTGGACTATTTTGGTTCCACAGACCTTACGCTTATAAACTGAAGGATTAGGAAGATGTAATTAATGGAAAAGCAAAATTTGTTGACAATTTTTTTACAGCCAAAAGTTTAAAAAAAAATTGCTTCTTTTTAAGATATTTACAATAATTATTATAAATAACTGAAACTATTTCAATACTCACATATGTATACCCAGCTGCAGTGAGACCAGACAGGTGACAAAGAATCACAAGCCTACAGAAAAAATAAATTATAACATCAAAATTGGGTTTTAATTGAATCAGTATCTCATAATCAATTTTCATTTCTGAGCAATCTCAACACTGCAAAGCATTAGTTTACCTAAAATTTGTGAGATACATTCTTCCAATGCCTCTGTGTTTACTGACTTCAATGACAACATCGTCAATAACCATTTCGACTTTTTCTGCCTCACCTGGAAAAATAATAAATATTTCACTTTACTAAGAAATACAGAAATTTACTACTATCCACACCTGGGCTGTGTTGTTCAAAGCTGGGTTAAGGTAACCCAGGGTTAGTGCGACATTTGAATTCAGAAGTAAAAGTTAAAAAAGCAAATTCAGCATAATTCTTTTTGTTTACAATTTGATGATTGGATACTGTGAAAGAATAGAAAAAACTATCTGAGAAAATGTCTTTGAACAAAAGAAAAAGAAACTTGGGAGAAAATTTAACCCTGGGTTAGTGCTAATCAGCCTTCCAACAACTGGACCCTGCAGAACGAGAATGTACTTAGACATCGGGAAGCAAACAAAAAATGACGGTGAATGTTAAACAGTGAAATTAAATACAGCGTAGATGCTTGAGGGTGGGACTAATTTTCACTCAAATAACTCACAGAAGTAATAAATCTGAGTTGAGTGATTTTTGATTCAAAAAATCTTGCCTGGCATAGCCTCCTAGCCTTACCTGGAAAATCAGCTACAGCATCTCCAAATGCAACAGGAATCTCATATCCTGTCTTCTTCTTACAGATAGAGTAAAGCTCAAAATCAACACACCATCTTGGAATAGGCTAGAGACAAAAAATTAATAATAATAACATAATTTTGTTAAACTTTTTTACTCACATTTTCAGCTGTACATGTAGATTAATAAAAATATGTATTTACAAATGCATTTGAAGACCACTGATAATTTGGGTGGTTAAATGAAACTGGAAGACTATGTTGGACTAGTCTGAGTTTGAGTAAACAAGTGTTGGAAGACGCAGATCACATTTTCAAAATTAAAAGATTATCAATTAACATGAGCTTACGTTTCCCTTAGCATAATTAGCCGGACTTTTGGCATAAAATGCCTTTGAAGACGACCTTTTGGTACAGACTATAAGTCCATAATACTCACCAGAGACACACCACGGTGATTGGGGTACTCAAAAATAAATAACAAGCCTCATTAATTGTGCGATTTATCGAAAGCATTTTTCCTTTGTCATGTTACTGGAAATTTAAGCCGTGCCAGCAGTGCTTATGATCGAGATACTCATAGCATACAATGTAAAGTTTATACTGCATGGCTGTACATGACCATCTGAACTGATAAACTCAACAGCGAGTACTGTTGATGTTTCCGTAGCAAATGTGATGCGTGACAACACTATTCCCAGTGTTCTCTCATGAGGTGGCGTGAGTAAATGCACACTTAAGTTGCCCAAAGTACACTTCAGCAACAACAACGATATGTTGTTTTCATATTAGGCAGCAAAGTCTCTCGAAATGAAGATGATCCACCTTGAGTGAGTGATTCATTTGCATACTTATCTCAACCCCACAGTGATAACTTAGTGAAATGCCCTTTGGGCATTCACGAGTTAAAAAAGATGCTTGTCCACTTGAAATGTAATGATGTGAAATTTTTTTCTGGTCACTTATTAACAATCTCTGGTCAAAATGACCACAAAACAAAAGTTTGTCCAGACAAATGGTCATCTTAGCCAGACATTGTCCATTGACCAACCGTTATCGTTATCCTTATCAGCATCAATATCATTTTCAGTGTAACTGTATCCATCACTTCTCAAAGAATGTTAATTCATACCTGAGAAGCTTTCAAAGTCAACTCTAGGAAAACTTCACCACAGATATTGTCTTTAGCGGAGCTTCTTCCTAGAGGATACCAACAAGCTGTTGTGTCTTCTGTTAAGAATGCTAGTGGAATTTGAATTCGCCCCATGAAATCATCACGGTTGAGAGTATCATAATCCCACAGATCAATCTGTATGTAGTGTTGGAGGCAGCAAAAGAGTGCATTCTCAACTAAAAATCAATGGAGAAGTCTAAATAATGTTATCGAGTAATATACCAAGGGCGCTTTCCATTTACCAGAACTGCCGGCTAAATCATTCTTGTCGTAATAAGAATTTCACTTTTGATCAAAACTTATCCAGCCAGATCAGTCAAATCCTAAATAGTTGCTTGAAGGGCATGGTTTTTCAACAAAGTGTTTTGGAACAAGTCTATTTAATTGTCAAACTGACCGGTCTGGTCATGGTCCGGCTTGCAAGTTCTGACTTTTGGAAAGAGCCCTAACATTACATATTAGGTGCATTCCTTTGAGATGATTCTGATCAGGATCAGTGATCCGAAATCACTCCGATCATGGTAGATCAAATGAACTGATGAATCCACTCTGGACAAGGATTCATTGGTTCATTTGATCTACCATGATCCAAGTGATCTCGAATCGCTGATCGTGATCCGGATCATCCCAAAGGAACACACCCATCATTCCAAACATTAGAAAGTTGTTTTATTTCTAATGTTCCAAATGTGCGACTCAGATTATTCTCCGTCCCATGCTTGTGACAGAGCTGTCTTGAAGGGCAGTAACCCATAACACCTGTTTCAGCTGAGCTCTTAGTGGTCAAAGTGAAAAGTTACAGGTGACACTATAATTTTTTAGTGAGATTTTACAGGTGAGTCTTCATTTGCTAGAGTGTCGCCATTGCGGATTATCGGTAGTGCAAAGTTTTTGTATTGTATTTATTTAGCAATGTATGAAGGTAAAGTCACATATAAGAGCCATAAATTAAGTGTATGTTACTGGTTAAATTTGATTTCAGGTTAATTTTGATTTAACCTAGACTGACTCTTGATTCTCCTAGCCCCAGAAGACAAAAGAAATCGAGAATCAACTAAGGTTAAAAAATCTTAACCAGAAATCAAATTTGACCTGTGACATATGTTTAAAGTCGGGTAATCAATCAATTTTGAAAAAATTTCATTTGCTACAGCTGCTTAAAAACTTAATGACAGCCCTGTGTGACATCACAAAATGCAACATGCAGGAGTATTTTGTTGGTGTGTACAACTCAAATTTTTTAAAGCTATCAATTTATTTCCTCAAAATTCATGGCTGAATGGATTATACAGCTGTAGGTAAATCAGAGTCATCTTCTCACCTGGTTCATTCTGCATCAGCTGTGGTACACCACTTATGTCAAACTGTAATGTCTCATGCCAAGTTGGGTTGACTGTGCTGTACTGTACAGATGTCCGCTGCTCTTGATTACCAACAATAACAATACAGTATGGATCTGATTTGCCGGTAGGGTCCATTACAGGAAGATTTCTCCCCTCAACAACTGTTACAAAGAAAAACCATTTCAAATATATTTGAAGCAAAGTCCTTAAACTAAAAGAAGACCTTCAAGCTAATAGCATCACCTAAAAAAGTTCCTAGAACATACCTGTAAATCTTACTACATGTATTTTTTCCCCGCAAAAATAATATTTTTTACACTTTTCTCCATCTCCAAAAGGGCTGTAAACAAACTCTAGCTAAAAAGAATTTGCACAAAATATCTATCCCACAAAAAAAAGCCTTGAAAACAAGTCTTACCCTCATCATTAGCTGAATGGTCACGCAATGTCATACTTTCAAGTGATGACCTTTATACAAATGGCTCGAGTATTGACACGGGACTTCCAGCTTATAATAGACCTAGACTTTGGATAGCACGATCCACTGGATCACTATCCGGGGGATAAGTATTAGGAAAACCTTATTGCATTATCCACTGAATGGAAATTTATCCGGAGGATAGTGTTAACCAACCTTTGAGCAACTGAGGCCTGTATAATTTGTAAGAAGCACATGGTCACCCATATTGTGCTCTTTCAACGTAATTTATTTATAACTTCTTGGTAAGACAATATTTGGCTCATTTATGCAATGTTAATTGTTATGGAACAATTATTTTTTGAAATATTTTTAAAGACAAATGAGCTTCTATGCAAATTTAACCTTTAAAGTTACATCATGTTCGCACAGTATTATTATAGCTTACGTTTTTCCAATTTATAACCAAAACAGAGGCGGTTGCTATCAGAAAGGCAAAAGCCATTTTTCAATTCAAGTTATATTGACAAAACCACCTTCAAAAGATGGAACGTTCCATTCCGCATTATGGTAATTTTAAGATAACAACCAGAACTGTAAACGTTAGAACAACAGTTCTCAGCTGGAATTTCGCCACGAATTCAGCAAAGCGAAAGAGACATTTAATTAAAACTCATTAAGGTTACATAAATAAGCTTACAGTTTTGGTTATTGTACATGTATGTTCTTAAGACCAAAAAGAAGCGGGCATAAAACGACAATAGAACTCGCAATAAGCTATTTTTTGCTCGTCTCTATTGTTCGAAAAACAAGTTCATGGTAGGAATTTGGCTATTTTACCTGTAATGGTGAGTACAGCAGCACCGATGCCTTTTTTTCGTTGTTCGTCCAACAATCCAGCGAGGTTTTTGGAAGTGCTCGGAAGTCCGCCATCCCCACTGTCACTGCTTCCGGCACTTGGGGTACCATTCGGTACATAAAACATGACCTTTCTTTCACAGAATAACTAATATTACCAAGGGTTTCAAAAGGAAGAGGTTTTTTCTCCTACCGCGGCCCATTTTCTCGGAAAGCTCTCTTCAGCAGTGTTCAGACGTGTGTTTTTGGACGTGACGTATTACCGTGACTGAATATACTTCGTGACCTCAGATATTGCCTCGTTCCGGTCCTGGGCGATAATAAACCTCGTTTTCACGAAGACTTTACTAGTTTCCAGCCTTCTATCATCTTTTGCTAAAAAACCAACATGGCGGAAAGTAGGCGCGCCGGAACAAGCCCTCCTTTATTTCATTCTTTGGAGAAGGTATATTTAGGATCAACTGAAAAAGTGGCCCCCAGGTGAGATTTATGAGCTTACTTTTTCTCTGTTCAATGGTCATGCGTTGACTTTCCTCAGTATAATTATTTTAAATAATTATTACATAGAGATGTGCACTCTTCCGTGTTTCCGGCCCGTATAGGAGCTGAGCTCATACTCTTTTTTGTCAACCGCGAAGTGAGGCGATCTGCAAAAGCAAGATATTTATTAGCTACATGTAATCTAAATTGTTTGATATATACCTTTTGATATTGCATGGTGATTCAAAATTTTTTATAAAGTCGCATACATTACAAGGTTTGTTTCTCTATCGCCAGGATCAGAACGTCCCTGAGATCTGAAATCCCCGGGAGCGCTAGCGTTATAATTGAATTAATTTGGTTGCAACGTAGTTGTAAATTGTTTGCCATAGAATCTTTATTACTCCGGATAAGCTCCTCTCCAACACTTAATTAAATCACTGAATTAAAGAATGTACATCGGCAATAGCCAAAACCTGGAGGCGTGAATGTCTTAGGAGATTTGCACTTGAGTTTGCAAGACTATTCTATTGTCTAATGCTGACCATCGCCATTCTGGGAAGTATCAGGGGTAACCAGCTGAGATGAAAAAAATCTTTTGAAAAATCTTATGCATCATTCAGTTCCAGCATGCCTTGTTCCTTATTCCCGATCGAGTTCAACTGCATGAAACTGTGTAAAACAATAATCATTGACTATTTTACACCTGCACTACTGCAAACTTTAGTAAGACTATGAAAGATTTGTTGCCACAGAGTAAATTCCTAGACTTTTGACATATCTTCCAGTAAAATACAGAATTCTGTTGTTCCACTATTGTTTTCAATGAATTGTTAATTTATTTGCCTTGACGGTTTGAACAAAGGTACCACATGGCAACGATAAGGCAAGATTCGCAATAACAGCAGTGTTAAATTGTTCTTTAATATCTGTCTTGAGATGTTTTTAATGACTACTATATCAACTTAGCACCCACTGCTTGCCTGAAAAGTAGGTAAATACATTTCGATTAACCGCCTTCATCGCAAACCACTAGGTCTGACACAGAAACACAATGTTCACAGATGCCTTAATAAGGGGGCAGCAGACCAATCGTGGAGGAAATGTATTAGGCATTCCTTTTTTTCCCCTCCCCCCCTCAAAAAAAACCGCCTGATTACAGCCTAGTTTATGTGTCACCATTACATTTTTAATTTGTGTTTTTCTCTTGAATAGGGTGTCATCTTTTGCACTAGGGCCTTAAATTGGGTTAAAATTTTTGTTTGTCTCATCCTTAAATAGGGTACAGGTTTAAGACGGTAGGACCTATCAGTTAGTTATAAGTCCCCCGGTTTTATAATTTAGAAAGGTCACCCTTCTGGTTTCTTGATCCATTAGATATCAGAAGATGAAAGAAACATTTCAGCAAAAGTATAGTTGTGACCCAGAATTCTATGCGCGGGCACCTGGGAGAGTCAATATTATTGGTAAGCAGAAATAGGTGGTTTATTATGAGTTGTGGTCAACTCGCAAATTTATTGAATTCAAAGAAATTATTTGTTAAATTAACTGTTTACAAAAAAGTAAAAGGAATTAATGTTTAAATTGTGGCAAGGCTTGAAAAAAAAATTGAATTCCAACTTGTCCTTTGGACAAGCAGCTCTCACATTTTTTTTTTTCTTTAGGCCACTTCTTGCTCATCTTAGTTAACGATTTTGTTAGAGGATGACTTGCTTGAAGCCTTGCCTATTGGGCAAGTAAGATTTAAAGTTACTGGACAGCAAGAAAATGACCTTTTCCCGGACTACCGGGTGGGACTGTTTTTGAGCCCCGTATGGGCTTTGTAAATCTTCACTAATCTTGTATTCTTATATTAATTTTATTTATCATTGACGGCACAGCAACCCATTGTGAATTATTATTGTTTTGTTAATTAGGAGAACATATTGACTATTGTGGCTATGGTGTTCTACCGATGGCCGTGGAGCAGGATATTGTTATAGCAGTGGGACAGAATGATAAGAAGACGCTCAACTTGTCTAATACTTTTAGCAGCTTTCAGTAAGTTAACATAAGAAACTTACTGTAAACCCTTGAGTAGTAAAAATCCTCTCTTAAAAGGGCCATGTCATCAGGTTATTGCTGTTTTGGGTCATTTCTCTGCAAAAGTCATTACTTACAGCCTTAACCCAATTATACAAAAAATGTCCCTCTAGAGTTATAAAGAAGATAAGTTATCAAAAATATTTCATCAGGGAGCACTAACAATAACAAAGTTTTCCTTGCCATCCATAGCAACAGATGGCAGATGATGATGATTAGATAATACAGTGGACCATTGTTTTTGGAACTCTATTAATGCAAAGACAGGTTTTAGTTTTTCCAAAAGATAACAAATTAATTAATAGTGTGACATGACTCATTTATAAAGGTACTGGGTACCATGTTGAATTTCAATAATCTTAGGCAGGTGTCGATCTTGTGATCATTATCTTTCATCATCATCATCATTGACTCAAACACAATATCTGAGACAGACTGGCCTCGCGTCTGAGTCTGACCCACCACACTTACAGATTAGCCAACAGGCCTCAGGATATTTTTCCTGCTACTTATTCGCTGGATAGTGATTAATCCAGGGGATAGTGTTATCCAATGTTTGAACAATCAGGACCAGGCTGCCAAGGTCTTCCCCAGACTCTACCTCATCATTTTATATAAGTGTCCATGAAGAGAGAGTGAGAGAGAGAGACAACTGTCAATGAAATGAGGTCTCCAACCCTTCGCGGTATTTCTTTTAATTTTTTTCTTTAATTTCTAGGCTTTGAGTCAAGAATAAAATTTACATGTATTGTACTCTTTTAGGGCTCTCTCATGTACATGGAAATATTTATCCTATAATGTTTTATTGTTTTACAGTGATTTTAGTGTAAGCTGTGAAGAGTACAAGATTAATGGAAAAGAGTGGTACCATTATTTTCTCTGTGGTTACAAGGTATACATGTAAAATCTTGGCTCATTCCTCAGGAAATGTTTCCTTAAGATAAAAAATGATCATTGTTACTAGTGACTGGTTGATTAAACAAATTAGTGATATCACTGGCAAAGTTTCTTAATTTATTCAAGAATTCTAAGAGGAAAATGTGGACAGTTTTGTTCTATAAAATATGAGTTATAGTTAGGATTAATTTAAACTAGGTTTAACCTAAGGATTGAAGAGATCATGAAATGTTTATGCCATTTCAACATGTTAAATTTAAACTAGGTTTAATGATTTGTAGATTTTGGCGATCTTTTGAGATGTTTAAAATTTCACGCCATTTCAAAATATCACAAATGGTAATGTCAATCATGCTGTTATTTGTTTATTTTGTAATTTTCACATGTAGGTATTTCAAATTAAGCTGAAATACCACTGCTCTAAGCCAATCAAATTGCAGAAATTTCTCATGTAGTAGTATAAAAGGATGAGTCCATCATTTTTATCTTAGGGTTTAGTGGATTACATGAAGATTACATCTCCCATAGGCTTAAATCTTTTAGTGGATGGAAATGTACCAAAGGTATGGAATCTGTTTTGTTTTCCATTTAACCTTTTAGCCCTATATCTGCACGGCCAAATGTGTTCTCCCTATATCTCCTTCACTGGTACTGATAACACATTATTATTATTATTATTTTTATTTTAATTCACCCATTCTCCCCTGGAAGTTTTGCTGAAAAACCTATTTTGAAGCTAGCTGAGTGATTTCTGGTCATAACCTTCTGTAAAAAAGCAAGAACACCCAAAAAGTTGTTTAAAAGTCAAGTGTTATGAGCAGCTTTTTTTCTGAAAGCTGAACAACAGCTTTCAAAGCTTAGGCCGGTGTGCAGAATTTCAGAATTTTAACACAGTTTTGAACCCTTAACTTTTTCATTGCTTTCTCTCCAGTCCCTGATCTCTTGTCTTCCCCCATTTCTTTTTTTTGCTGATGGTTTTCTAGGCTTTATTTTGTTGAGAAAAGCTTTTGCCAAGACCTACCCTGCTAGCCGAGTCGTTTCGATCTTTCCTAGATAAGTCGGGAAAGAGGAAGCGACTCAGGTTCCTTCCTCTTCCCGACTTATCTAGGAAGATCGAAGGAGACTCTGTTTGCAGGGTAGCCAAGACCCTGAGGATTGTGAAAATATTTTGAAGAAAGTTCAAGTGGGTAGTGGAACAAGATTTTCCCTGGAATTTTCTGTCTGACTGGATTGTGCTTGCTTGGGATCTGGTGTGAAAGATTTCCTCCCCCTTCCCAAGTTAGGTGTCATAGCCATCCATATAGATGTTACAGGCCAAATTTATTTTGGGGTTATTTTTTTTAAAAGAATCCAGGTTGAGAAACATAAACAGGACTGTCATTAAGAATCAGGGGCCGGAATTAAATCAAAATTAACCTGAAATTAGAAGCAAAAGAAATATTTTGATTTGTCCTACTTGTTGTATTTACAGCAACTATATTCTTATGAATAGTATTTACAGCCATAGATACCTATTTACAGTTAAAATTCATAATGAGAGGAAAGGGCACTATGAAGTTATCAAGGATAAATTGGATCCTTTTAAATGGTCTTTATTATTTATTGTCTTAGTATTGTCTTTGGTTATTGTTTTCTTTATTCTCTAGCCCTCTTTGTTCAAACTTTAACTACATATTATGTATCTATCAATGAACCAAGATGCTTTCATTGAAATTGATTATTCTGTTCTCTTTCCTAAAGAGTGCAGGTTTGTCCAGCTCATCAGCACTTGTTTGCTGTTCAGGACTGGCAACGGTGCATGGTAATGGACTGGAATTGAGTAAGGTGGGATATTTTGACACTTTTTTCATAAAGTGATTCCAGTGTCTTGCCCACAAATTCATTAGACATGTTAAAATGTTTTTAAAACGCCTTTTAGAAAAGAAAAAAGTGAAAAATACCCCTTTTGTCTTCTAGCAAAGTGGAAATAGGCCATTTGCATGATACTACAACCAGAATCCTTCAGGGTTTTGCTTTCTTGTGCAAATTGAGGCTTTTGTTATTCAAACCTCGCTTTGAATATGAAAGGAAAGACGAAAAGGATTCTGTTCTGTAAAATGACGCCATCGTGCAAATGGCCTATTATAGGAAAATTGCACCAACTGTTGCATTGGAACTGACTATAGGAATAATTAATTACACTGAAGTTGCTGTTAATGTTATTGCAACCAAAGTGTCAGTCACTTTCAAAATGAAAATCACATACCAGTCAATAACAGTGTCTAGCTATTGTAATTTTCTATTACATTATACTTCAGCGATACAGCTACAGAATGTACACTGTAGGTGACTTCTGATTGGTGTTGTTGTTGTTGTAATTAGCATGAACTTGCAGAGGTGTGTACAAAATGTGAGCAGTACATTGGAACTGAAGGAGGAGGGTAGGTCAATGCCTGTGCCAGGCTCTTAGATAGTAGGAACATCACGAAAACTAAGGGCGCTTTCCATTTACCAAGAAATTTCGGAAATTCCGGTTGGGATGTTAATGGGACACACGTTTTCCGTGCGTTCCACTGAAAAATTTCCGGGATTAAGTGGAATTTTGAAAAGGTAGTCCTGTTTTCCCGTTGGAAACTTTCCTGTGGAAATGCATGTTCCGTTTACGAGTTTTCACAAGGAATCATCAGTTCCAGGCTATTCACGGCGATCTCTGTGTCGCTATCTTAAATTTTGGTGACGAGAGCTTGAAAAAATGGAACTTGTGTCAAATGGAACACGTTCTTCACTCGATAGACCTCTCCATGGAAGTTTCTCAAAGTTTTTGGTAAATGGAAAGCGACCAAGGTCAAGGAAAAAATAGGATGAGCATGATATAGGAAAATGTGCGGCGTTGGAAAGAGGTCCATCAACCTCTCTCTCCCCAGCCCACGTGTGTTTTTTGCAATAGTTTTCATGATCTCTCCACATTACTTTCTTGAAGCCTGGAACAGGCTAGTTGGGTCATTACCGGTTCCAGGCAGATTTTGAAATTCAATAATTTGTAATCATTTCTTTAGAACCCTAAGTGTGAAAGTGAAAGGGCTGTGCTATTGCGTTTTTAAATGGTTGAATTTTCGAAATTTGAGCTGATAGTTTGAATAAAAACCATTTTTCTTCTCCATACCAGCCACACCTAACACTGTAATTTTTACGCACGATTTTAACCAAAATACATTTCTCCAGGAGGGATGAAATAATATTGGGATTCTAAAGGGAAAAAAAAAAAAAATTAACATTTTGACACTCTTCTAAGAACTGCAAAAGTGGAAATCTGACCATGAAACAAAGTTTTTGTTCAGTTTTCCTTCATTACTTAAGTTACAGTTTTTGTTTTCAGTCGGGAGCTTAAGCAACAACGATCGACGGCAACGAAAACGTCACTTAAAAAGTAGGCTCGATTTCCGCCCCTCTTTTAGTGAATTCGCGCTACTTCAAACTTTGTCGCGCTTATTCCAAGTCGTTCAATTCGTCAAATGATGGTAGATTTTTCTTGAGGTGAATTCTAAAGACTGTATCAAAGTTCAGGAAAAGAAAAAGAAGGTCGTTGTCTTGTGTTCACGTCCTCCACAAAACGTGAAATTAGGCAGTTTCACGTCGTAATCGTGCAGTGACGGGAAAGCGTGATGCACGTGCAAAGTTGCTGTTTTGCTAATATAAACCTATTGCTTTTTTGCTGTTCTCGTTGACGTCGCTGTCGCTGTCGCCGTCGCCGTATGCTGCAAAAAAACATTTGCTGCCTTAGGCAATTGAAAGTTCGTATGTTCTTGTATTTCACAGAATGGACCAGTCTATTTCCTTTTTGGCCGAGCCAGGAACTGTAAGTATTCATTTGGAGGAGGTTACAGTCAGCACTAAGCCACTGCTCCATATGTCTTTGCAAATGTACTTTAGTTTACAAGTCTCTTTGTCATATTTTTTGTGTGTTCCACCCGCATATCACTCAGTGGATAGTGTGTGGATACTAAGAGACAAAAAGTATAGCAAGTAGTTTACCACAAACAGACATTGTTTGCACATCGTTAACTCTAAAGTTCGCTTTCTTGCTTCTGATACACTGATTTTCTTTGATTTGTTCTTTGTTAGGCAAAACACATTGAGTTTGATCCTATAAGAGCATATGATGTAACTCTTCCAGATGGAATAGTGTTTGTGATTGCCAATAGTTTGGTATGAATCTGTAGTTAGTTTTTATATTACTTGCTAGGGGTTACCGGCCTTTTTCCTGGGGATAAATGGAAGTGCGTGTGTGACCGCCTCCTTCCGAGATAAATTTACATGGGATATAACCATGGAAACGTCAACAGTTTAAAGAAAGCGACATGTATTATATCAACGTAGTTTCTGAGTTCCAAGATAAAACAACCAATTCGTATATAGTATACCGTATTTATTTGATTAAACGCTGCGTTATCAAATTCTTAGTGTTCCCGATGCTGCCTTTATTTCAACAACAATTATGATAAATCATCTGTAAATAGTATGTAAAACAGAAAGATGTTTCAAGTTCCAATCTCTCGCTTTTTTGCTGAGAGAGAGTCGTTATTGTCTGGATAGTGTAGATACCCAGTTGTACCGAGTTTCGAATAAACGCCGCATTCATCTGATTGGGTGCGGCGTTTATTCGAGGGCGTCATTTAATCAAGTAAATACGGTATATGGTGGTTTTTACAAGTGCAAAGACGTACCGCAGCCGGTTGATACCGTTGAAAATAAAAGGTAAGTGTGACCGCTTTGTCCTCGTTATGTAAAACAACGTGATGAATACCCTGGAAGCAACGGTGTTTGCAACCACGACTCGACTGAAAAAATGTCCAGTAGTAGTTATGCTACTAATAACAAAATGCACTCGATTTTGTGCAATTCTTTTCCTGTCTTTGCAACATTAGAAACCAGTTGTCCTTATTTGTAACAGAGTATAAAATGCGGAATGATGTTTTTGTTTAATCCATGTCAGGTGGAGATGAAGAAATCCGCTACTGCTGGTACACATTTTAACGCTAGAGTGGTGGAGTGTCGTCTAGCAGCCAAGGTATCATACAACAAACAGAACGTCCTTAACCCATTAAGCCAAAATATCCACACACAAATTCTCCAAACTGATCTCCATAAATTTCCTTAAAACATTAGTTGAGAGAATTTGATGAAAGATGAAAGCATTTTCCCCAAGGCGATCATTTCATTAATTCTCATAACCTTTTATCATGCCTATGTATTAATATTGTTTGGAGAAAATTGATGTTTGTCACTTATTAGGACTTAAAGTGGTCCCAGGCTGCTTAGTGGGGAAAAGAGCGAATAACAGGGTGAGCTCGTAGAGAGTAGAACCCATTACTCGGCTCGCTTCGCCTGCTAATTTTTCAAGTTTGTGCTCCGTTATTTGCATTTTTCCTCACCAAGGAGCTGGGCTCAGGGTACATTTGTTTTCTGCTTTTTGTTGAACAGGTACTGGCCAAAGTCAGCGGACTTGACTGGAAGAATGTGCGCCGTTTGAGTGAGGTGCAACAAGGCAAGAAGAAAACCTTGGATGAAATGTAAGCCGCTACCATTCTCTGGCAAACTTGAACTACAGATGTAGTTACGTTGACGCCATATAAAAATACGTACTTAACCAGCTTCAACGATGTTGATCTTTCGTTTTACTTTCTCCCCAGTGAGAGAAAAATTGACTTTAAGTTACTAGAAAGAAAATGCTTTTACCTTGTCATAAACGTTACGGGTGACCATATGAAAGCAGCAAGCTAGAATACACCTTATGAAGTACCATACGGTGAAACGGGCACCAAAAATGTGCAACTTGTTTTGCAGCATTGCTGCCAAGTGAGTTGAAAAGTGATGTTGCATTTTACCGCCCACATTCAAAACTATTTTGCAACAAATTTGTTGCAGAAAGTAGAAATTAGTTCTAATTTTTGCAACAAAATCTGTATATGTTGAGCGTTTTACCGGCCCAAGGCAAACTTGTTTTGCAACAAGTGGTGTAACTCCCGTATATGGCATGACTCCCGCGTAATTTTATCCAATCGAAGACAGTATTCGCGCAACTTTATTTGTCGCAAGACAGGTTTGAACGTGGGTGATAAAACGCGTAACATCGCTTTTCAGCACGTTCTGCAGCAATGTTGCAAAACAAGTTGTACTTTTTTGTTGCCCGTTTTACGGTAGCTTTATGTAGCTAACGTTATTTTTGTTTATCTCCGAGGCAGGGTAGAAATGGTAGACTCAGTTCTTCATGCTGAACCGTACACAAAAGAAGAACTTTGCCAATTTTTTGGCTTGACGGTATGTTGAAAGGATTTAAGTCGTCGTTTCCTGATACTTCGTTGTACATACGTACTCCATTCAAACTGAGTTTTTGTTTGGCTAGGGCTTTTATCTAACCAAAATTCTTAGGCCCAAAAGGCACACCACGGAAATCCTTGACATATTGTTGGAGTATTTTTCTAACAAAAAGGCGCTCATTCTTTAGCTAACACTGAAAAGCTATGATAGTAGAAGCAGTGATCGTTGTCCGCTGTTTCACACCACAGGGCGCTTTAAAAACTTACCGGTAAGACAACCGTCAATTTACCAGTTAGACAGTGGGGAGACATAACATGATGTCTCGCCTACTGGAGGGCAAAAAGTACCTGCCTGTGTCCTGGCCATGTGTGAAAAGAGTATAAAAGTTTTCAAATGACGGATACATTAACAAACCCGGTGATCATTCATGTTGATTTTGAATTTTATTCGTGGTCTAAGTATACTCATTCACCTTCATGATGTTGTTCCCAACCAAACTTTAAATGCAGAGAAGATCATCAAAGTTTAGCAACTTATACAGTTGCGAGAAGAAAGCCAAAAAAACTTCAGGCTTGCCGGGATTGGAACCCTTACCTCTGCGATCCTAGCAAGCCAACTGGGGCGTGGTCATTTAATTGATTCGTAATATACCGGTATCTCAGAGGTTTGGGTTCGAATCTCGGCAAGCCTGAATTTTTTTAGGCTTTCTTTTCACAACTGCATAAGTTGCGTCTTAAACTGTGATGATCTCTTCTGCAGTTATTTCTTCTTACCGCAGTTCAAACATATGAAATTCATATATTCATCATTTCATCGAACTGAACTTTCTTACGCACTTGCAACGGTTTTTTTGCCACAGTAAAAATGAACTCAGTTTTTTTTTCGTAATCTACAAGCAAACAGTCGTTAGTCTTTGATCTAGCAAATTCCTTTCTTTTTTACGACACCTCAAATTCTAATTCTAATTGTGTAATCTGGAAAATGCATAGTCCATCACAGCAGAAGCAAATGTGTATGTGCTAGTGTTAAAAAAATGAGACAAGGTGCTCGTGTTGAATAAAGATTAATAATGGGGTCAGCGCTTTTTAAACATGGCACCTGGCGGCTTTTTTTAAAGCTTCCACTGACTGCTCTTCAATAACTCTGTTTGGTAAAGAGTTCCAGTCTCTGATAGTACTTGCAATAAAAGTGTGTTGGTATTTGTTTGTTTTGGCACTAACTTGTCTAGTGACCTGTCGCTTTTTAAGTCATAATTTATATAGGGTGGACATTGTATGGTTGATAGACCAGGAACCACTTTAAATATCATTGTATCTCAATGATATACATGGCTTTTTTAAGGAAGATGAGCTGATCAGTGGCTGCATGAGTCCTTCAACAGCCGGCGTCAACAGCTTCAAGCTCCATGATCGTGCCATGCATGTGTACTCTGAAGCTTCTAGGGTGTTTAAGTTTAAAAGCGTGTGTGAAGAAAAACCTGCTAACGCTATTCAGGTGAGAACATTTGTGGATGTTAGTCAAAGCTTTATCTTCTTCTATATTCCAATGACTATTCAGTTGAGTCATTTGCATCGGAATAATTATTTCATGTTATTTATTTATTTCATTTTATTAATTTATTCTGCTCAGGTTTTGGGCGGACTTATGAATGAAAGTCATGAAAGCTGTAGTAAAATGTACGAGTGCAGCTGTGAAGAACTGGATCAGTTGGTGTCCCTGTGCAGGTATTATACACTTAAAATCTCCGATCGGTAGTTATTTTGGCCTCTCTGCTTTCTACAAAGCGCACTTCAGAATAATTGGGTATCGTAATCCTATTTTGATCGATTTTCCTGCCGGACATACTGTCTTTGGCCATCTTATTCGGACCGGCACTTGTTAAGTCTTACATTGTTGGAATTTCGTCTGCTAGACACAACACTTGCTTGAACTCCGTCCCGTTTACAAGACAAAGAACAACAAAACCGGAGATTTTCAATCAAATCTTAGTCGAATCTTTTCCAGCCTTAGCGGGACTTGAAAGAGGGAGCTTTTCCCAGATGTCTCGACATGTCCCAACAACTTTGTCTGAGTTTGTAGATCGGTTCGACACGCAACGCAATTTTGCAAATTCTGCGCCTGTCTGACTGGTAAGAACTCAGATTAGGCTTAAGCAGACTGTTCGCGTGTAAACCGATCCATTTACACTAAGAGGCCGGCATGGTCCGGTGTGAACACACCTGACACGATCCCGTACCAATAGCTTTTTCAGTTTCTTCTTACCCTTTTCCTTTTAGGAAATCTGGAGCAGTTGGCTCCAGGCTCACAGGTGCTGGCTGGGGCGGTTGCACAGTCTCACTGGTACCCATTGCTTCTCTCAACGATTTTATGAAAGCAGTGCGTGATGGGTATTATGCCGCTGATCCAGACAGGCTCAGCCGAGTGTCTGAGAGTTTGTTTGCTACTCAGCCGGGGAGTGGTGCTGCCATATTAAAACTTGATTAACAGACATTTAAATGGCTTGGATCACTTTATTTTCATGATCAAAGTAAAGAGTTTACCAAAATAAAAAGATTTATGCCCTTGAGAACGTATAGAATGATCAGAAGCCATAGTCATACCGCGATTATGGCTCCTGTATCGAACGATAAAAGCATCTACCACACAACACATGTTAAAATAGGCATGGTAAATTATTTTTCACAATTTCGTTCCCCGGGTTATTGTTTATGGGGTTTTTCAGTGAAAACCTTAAGAAAAAAAATGGGCGGGGTCTTTTTCATTTATTTTTATTTAGTTTAATAGGCCTACTGAATTCTTGTAATAAAAATACATCTTTAGGTAGATTTTGTAGCATATAAATGTATAGGTATAGAATGCCATAAATGCGATAGATTAACAAAACTGATACTATGAAATATAACTTATTGAGAATTGTTTGAATATTACTCAGGTCTTTGTTTTTGGTTTCTCGGTTCGTGTGAACTTGTTGGTTATTATGGGTTATTCTTCCTTGCCCTGTTCGTGGCATCGAGCATTATTTGGCTATTTCTGAGAAGCTGCTACTTATTCCATCCATCGAACCTTCAAGGAGCCATAGCATAAATGAGCAACAAACCTTTTTAACATATTTCCGTCGGTAGCAAACATCGACCGAGCATCAAATATAACCAGCTTGTTCGTGTATTTGTTACATCTTCTTGCCTTATTTAAAAGGCATAACCAACCAGCATTTGGGGGAGTCGCTTCTCTCTAGCCTGCGTGTAGCAAGCGTTTCCGCGGGAGATCGTCGAGAGCGTTGGGAAGAAAGCAAAAAAGAGGAATGAACGGGGAGGTGGAGGGGAGAAAAGGAAACCTTCCTCTTCTCCCCTCCCCTTGCCTTCGCTCCAGCTTTCGCGCAATAACTCGATTGGAAACGCTTGCTACGCCGGCTTCTCTCCTCCGCAGAGGCCTGTTTTTCGCCGCTCGCTCGCGGTTCTCTGTCGCACGCGTGCTCGCGCGTTCTCTCGTCCCATGACCGACCTTTATTTGCAGCTTTTCCGCTCCTCTTAAGAGATATCCTGGACCTATTACTACTGTAGCAGTTGTACCAGGGAAAAGGGAAAACCAAGGTTCATTTGTCAGAAATAGCTTTCAAGTAAAGGGATTGACGCTGAAAGCGGACTCGATGCGAAGAATGATTGTTCGACGAACTAATAAGAGAAACCAGGTCAGTATGAAAGAAGTTGAAGGCACCACAAGCTGCTGCTAACAGAGAAAGAGTTTCCATAACCTCGCTCCCAGCTTCAGGGAACGGGAGGAAGCAAGAGAGCCTGGGGACGAGGTTTAGGGACAAACCGGTTGTTTGTTAAAAGGACCTTTGATACACGGGTTTTTGCCCCCGTTCATTTAGCATACCATGCTGGCGAGCCTCAGTAAGGGCGAAACAGCTGTTCACGTCTGTCACTGCCCGAGCGATGTGACTGTTGGCATGCGTGAGGTGCTGGCCAGGCCGTGAGTTGGTGTATGTGTGCCCCTTGCTTTGAGTTTGTCTATTTGATCAAAACCGCGTTCTAAGGATAAATTTTCCATTCGTTTTAGATGCTGCGAACGCCACCGAAAAGACCTATAGTGCAGACTTAAAAATAACATCCGTCTACTTAAAGTAACCCGCTTACAAACAAATCCAGCGTTTCAGTGAGTGATTGTCTTAAAAGACTGTAAAGGCAGACTTCGTAAGCCGGTGTTTACGCATTGCCTTTGACTACCCTTTGTTAGCATAATAAACAAGATTTAACAATCCATCGATACTGATATAGCTCTATAGTCATATAGCGCAGCGGCCTCATAAAACAACAGGTTGTTTTCAAATGTTGTTTATTTAAGATACCGCGGTGCCATATACTGTGGTTTTGGCGCCAAGAAATTACCTTTTATTTTTTAATCCACTGTGCGAAATAGCGAAATAAAAAATGGTCTTTACACAAACTTAACAGTTTCCTTAAGTTCACGCGCAAATGTGTTTTTTCGCTAAATGCGTATTTCAATACTCATTCCTCTACATGAAAACAAGATCCTTTCTTGTTTAAATATAGTAAGTTTGTTTAAAAACACTCTCGCTAATTGCTTTAAGAGGCGGAAGAGTTAAGTTATTTTTCTTAATGACAAAAGCTCTTGTCTTGATTGTTAATTCCAAAGCTGTTTTGCGTTGTTAGGTGTTGATGTTCTATTAGAGCCGAACGCCCACCACTCTTTCTTTTCTCTGGTCGGGCCGCAAAAATAAAGCAATTAACTACTATTTTAATGAAATCCGTGCTGTTTTGATCATGGCTAATTGGAGAGATGGAATACCCCGCCGCCTGTTCGGCACTACGAACATAGATCGAAGACACTTTGAGATGCGTTAAATGATTAAAATTATTTTTGTGAAAGATGAGTTACTAGAATGGGATCGCACATTTTCGGGATTTAGGGGATCAGAAAATTCACGTAGGTAAGGATTTGAAAATTAATGGAAGCTTTTACTTCATTAAGTTAACCAATGTGCCAAATAATTTCGGGATGACCCAGTTAAAAGGCTTTACAAGGTAGATGCCTAAAAAGAAAGTTACTAAGTTGGGATCGCGAAAATTACTTTTTCCCAAAAGCATACACAGCACAAATTAACCCAAGTAACTCCCCCCCCGCCCGGGGGCGAAAAGGTTTGTATACAAACATCTCACTGGTGTAATTACCTAGGCTCTTCTTGAAGCACGAAGGTGTTTTTTAGGGGTCTGTGGCAAAATTAGAAAGAACTTTTCTTTTGGACATACCTTGTGAAGCAAGCGAACTAGCGAGAACGTTAGAGAGATGGGTGGGGGGAGGGTTCGCGCCTTGTTCGTAAGAACGTTACCCGCTCAGGCTATCCTGGACGGTAGTTCTAGCCCTCTTCCACAACAAAAGACAATTGTGTGAGACCTTCAATATGAAAAATGAAATCTTGTCAGAACTTTGGTACGGTACTCTTGGCCGGAGAGTGTTGGGTTGATCGTATGCCGGTTTACGAATAAGTAATTTCAGAAGTCATTTGTTCTGATATCAGCCGTGATATTCATTGCATTTCAAAAACTAGAAATCTCTTGGAGTTCAGGTACTTCAAAAACCACGGTATAACTTATAAGTGACTTGCAACATAACGTTCGCGCAATATTTTCCCAAAATACAAGCAATCCATCGCTCCCTTGGACTGTTGGTCCCTCTTTTTATATACCCTGCGAGTTCAGGGCCTTCGATCTTCCCGATCAGGATTCATACAAAAAATTGCAACCATTTTTCAAGGACTTTTCAAGGACCATATTAAGTTTTCAAGGACCACTTACTAGGAATATAGTTTCACAGATTGTACAAAAATGCACATTCCCAGTCCATTCTAATAAGACTTTAAGGCTTGAACTGTTTTGCTTCACTTGTCTGAAATTGATAGTTATTTATTGCATAAAACATAGAGCGCTTTATGTAAATAACCTTTAAATTCTCTGAGCTATGATTTACATTCTGTCTTGGACAACCAAAAAGCATCAAGAAACTCTTTCCAGGCTACTACATTCAAAGTTAAGAATATTCAAGGACTTTTCAGGGTCTTGCACAGAAATTTAAGGACTTTTCAAGGAAAAATGGAATTCAAGGACTTTTCAAGGACTTCCTCTAATATTCAAGGACTTTTTAAGACTGTGGGAACCCTGCCCACCAGTAAATGGGAGATTACTGTTCTTATAATAAAGAACGACCGTTTGAAGACTCATAAAATTCAGGTAATATTTTAATTTTGTATTCGACACCACTTGACTATGCATTGAACTGGCGTTTACGATGGATCATTTTCACCTTAGTAATTGTTTCAGGGCAACCAAAAAAACTGTGAAGAATACTATATTCTTTGCAAATAAGACGGAGATTTAAATCCTTCATTTCTATCTCAGCAGTAATTTTCACGTTGAGGCCGAATGAGATTAGATCAGAACATTGGATTGTGGAAATTCCCCAAGCCTCATAAAATGCCAGTTGCACTTGAATGTCATTAATAAATGGAGATAAAAATGAAAAGCTGAAGTTACTTTATTACTAAGCACGGAAAGCCAGGACTCATAGCTTAATTAGTATTAGGTGGGCATCGTAGCATGTGTGCTGTCCCTTAATATAAAGTCCTTGATTTTCTATTCCATTTACTGTTTAACGCTAAAAGCAACAAATTCATGACTACCAATAACGTAACTTAATCGTAGATGATATTTTCCAATAGTACTTTTCCGTTGGCCCTAGGCCAAATCGAAGCTCATTTATACCATCTCATTCGCACTTATAGGTATGACTAAAACAGAACCAAATCTTCCTCTGAAAACTCAAAACTCACGCGATTTTTATTACATTTTCGGAGAGACCCTACTCATTTGCAGTTAGCCTTCCCGACCGAGTGATTTGGAAATCTTTTGAAAAAACGTGGGTTGATGTCCTTGCGCAAAAAATCTATAGGGGACTCTCCAATAGAGAAACTCCTTTTCGGGTCCACATGATTCAGCAGGGAATTCGAATTTAAAATTCTGTAGAAACCTTTCACTCAGTTATCTAGGATCCTTTATTTACGACAACGATTTTCGTGTATTTTTTCATCTCTCTCTCTCTCTCTCTCTCCCTCTCTCTCTTTTATAGAACACTCTAGAATTCATCGGATCCAAGTTGTATCCTAACTCATCGATGAATTCCAGAGTATCTTAATGACACATCATGAATTCATTGTGACCATTTAACTGATAAAGCGCAATAGTCTTTTTTTTTTCCTGGCTTGCCGCAGGTATAACAAAACTGTTTGTATCTGGATAAAAGAAAATCGCCTAATGCAAAGTTCCATCCACAGTTTTAACTTAAAATTTGCTCATCAACGCTGAAGATTCAGCGGAAAAAAAAATAATCTTAGCTCAGTATCTAATGCAAACCTTTTCACCGAGTTTAACGAAAATGGTAATTAGAAGTTTTTAAGAAGCCTTTTCACTTGATTTACGTCACCAGTGACGTCGTGAAAAAGTGGTTATGTTTAACTTAATACAAAGAAAGGATGGTCGTGGACGATGTCCTACTCAAATAGTAGTACATTCCTGTGGGACAGTCTGCTATGCAGTCAGTGCTAGGCGGTTGGTTAGACCTTTTTTGGAGTAACTAAGCTTGCTGGGCAAAGTAGTCAACGACATTTGTTAAAAAGAAAGAGCCCCAACGTTTTGTTCCCTGCTTGCTTGTTGTATGTTACAACATGTCTTGAAATCCACCATGAACTTTGGATTGGAAAACCACTACAGTGCAGAGACCATCAGAAATCATTCAGGAGCCAAAGCAAAGCCGTTCCTGTTAGAGACGACGTTGAAAAAAGAGCGAAAAAAAACGAAAGAAATTCGAAGTATGGGTCTTCGAAGAGGGGCGTGGGAGCATGATGTATGTAGTGTCGTGACCTGGTGTCGTCCTCTAATTAATTTCGTAGTGGGGATACTCCGTTTAACTAGACAATAAATCTTTTAGTATCTGGTTTTCCATAAGACATCATCTCTTCGTAATCATTGACGCAAAGGATTCGGTTGTTGAACAAATAAAACTTGTCCCCAACACAGAATCTCTGATGACATCGCTGGCAAGAGAAACACTCCAGGTGATAGACGTTTTCTCGAGCTCGCATCACCATTTCAAACGCCGGAATTGTCTTGCAGCAGACCGTGCAAAAACCTTTTGTTCCGAACAATCTAAAAGAGGACAAAATATAAACACACAATTGACAAAATCATCTTTACTCCATCCAAGTGCATGCTTGATTACATCCGGAGGTGCATAAGGTCAAAGCTGATTAGAGACTTCTCTAATGGTAATATCTCCTGTTCTTACAGAGCTGGGGTATATAAATTTGAAAACGTTCTACAATTTCCGCTTAGAAAATATTGCACGCCGAACATAGTTCTGCTCTGCAGCAGTTAGCTTTCTTAGCGATGGTCGATACTAAAATGAGTTTCTTCCACAAAGTTCTACTCTACGAATTCAGCCAAGTGTTGACTCGCCTCATCAGAAAGAGACTGCTCGTGTTAATCAATAATTGATTTTTAGAAACTTTTCATGAGTTTAAAATCTATTTTACGAAGCCAGTAACTCGACGAAATTAAAAAGAGTTTACTCTCCCTTGAAAATGATAGCGAAATTAAAGTTTAAAAAAAGCTCATCCCAGTCATTTTGTCTTTTGCCAATCAATAATTTATCATTAGAAACTTTTCAGGAGTCGCTAATTGCCATCAAGTTGCCATTGCCAAAAAGCATTCTTAATGGGACTACCTGTAAATTGATGATTATTTTTTACAGCTCCTTGCTTAAAAGGCTTTGCAATATTCTACGAAAATGACACAGTGGAAGGAAGTACTATAAAAAGAGATTATATTTCCTGACAGCCTGGGCAGGCAGATTTATTAATGTGTAAAAATTGCACTTAAGCGTGATGGCGTAAAAAGGTTATTTTAATTTTTTTAAAGCTTTCATCAAACGCTTCTAAAATGAGAAATTTCTATTTGCACGCAAAAGTAATTAATTGGAAGTTCCTACGAGAATTTTTAAAGAATCTGTCATCGTTAGCCAAATAAAATAAAAACTAAATATATGAGTCTGTGATTGAAAGGAAGACAGAGTTAAATATCTCAAATCTCTAGAACAAACATAAAGCTGTGAAAGCACATTTGACAATACTAACCTCAAATAATCCCTTCGACAAAGGATTAGATTTGCTTTCGTGTACAACGTAGAACCTACTTCGCCTAAACGACATTCACAGCAACCACATTTTAAGCAGTCTTCGTGCCAGAAGCGATCGAGTGCCTTGAGAAGAAAGCGGTCATTTATAGGACTTCCACAACCGCCGCATAATCGCTTGTTCGGGGGCACCTTGAGAAGATCGAACTTCTCAGTCGCTGAAAGAACAAAAAAAGTGTAGCTTATTAATAAAAGAGAAAATGGCTCCTGGAGACACTAAAGTCCGCAAGTTCGATAGGACATAGGAAGCTGTTTCGTTTACAGAACAACTCGTATTAACAGTTTAAGAGAGCAAAGTGTTTAATCTTAAACAAGCACCTTTATCAACGCACGTTTAAAAGCATCTGTTCGCTGTCTGTTTATAGAAACAGTAGCAAGTTACTTTATCAAATAGCTAATTTTTGGGCCCGTTTCAATGAGGAAGCTGAAACGTGTTCAGATACGCCATCGTGCGACCACGATATGTTTTGAAACCCTCGCGCGACAGAGACACATCAGTTTAAAGTGTCACAGCCGGGAAAAACAGATACAAAGCAATTCAGCGGCCACTGTTAGATATACATCTCTCTAGATTTGCCATTATTGGTAACGTGTTTACTAACTCTCCAAGTCTAATCTGATAGCATGTACTACACAAAGGTCGAAGACTCGTGTAAGATATTTTCAAACAACTCCACAAGTACTTTACAATTCACTTACCCATAACCTCGCTTTTACGCGCTTCCGTTGTTGTTTACAGTCGTAGAAGTCAGCAAGATTTTATACGAGCTTGCTTCTTGGGTCAGGAAACCGACTAATACGATATTCGATGATCAACGATGTCTATATATTCGCATTTCCTGTCCATTAGCTCGACTGTCAATTATTGTTTCGTTAATCGAAATCCAACTAGAAGTAGGTCGCTTTCCTTTGTTCTGTAAATGACAACTTTATTGTTTCGTTTAGTGCTTCCACGCTCGCTAACGTGTCATTTGTCCATCTAGCAACATTTGATACTTCGAGGTTTCGAGTTCACCTCTGTGGTATCGATCAAATCTTTCACGGCATTTACAAATAGCTACACTTTATGAGATCACCAGTGAATACGACTTACTATCTCACTTTAGCAAGTTATTAAACGCAAATAGCGAATGTTGGCACAACAAAAACTTACAACTTCTCTGAGCAAATATTTTGACGAGCCGATCTCACCCATTGTGCCACTAATGTTTTTCACAGACATAAGTGACAAATAGTTTGCTTAAGGACCTAATTAACATTTTGTCGGAGATGCCTTAAAATATCAACGGCTTTTGGCAGTTCTCTCTGGTTTCTATTAACAACACGATCGACATGTGGAAATATCGCCTGGAATTTGTTTATACCCTGAGGCGTACCTGTAAACCTAGAATTTTAATTCCAATTCCCGGTTTTGAATAACCAAAGTTCTTTTCAGTGTCTTACATTATAGGAGGTCGCACAACCACGCTACCGGGTTGGTTCTTCGTGAACCACAGATACGAGAAGATTACTTCTGGGAAGTAAATTGGATTTCTTTGTTTAGGCTAGAAATTAATGACTACCTTGATCAACACATTCCAGACCAGGCGAGAATTGAATTACATCTGATTATTTTAAAAAACACTTCATACATTCATAGGTGTGTCTTCATTTACACGCGCCACTCGGAAGATAATACAAAAAGGGACAACTTTGATTTCAGGGAAAAGTTAAATAATATTTATGAAGATTAGTTTCTCCGCCACTTTTTCGCTAAATCTATGAAGGGAAATGATCATTTTATTGAAACCTTATGTGTTTTTCATGCTTCCTGAAATAAGCGTGGTATACATTAGTAGACATTAGTAAACGGTTAAAAACACATGTCAACTCTGCAGGCAATAAGGTTGAAAAACTTGAGGAGAAGGTAAGGCGATATCCCTTCAAAATCATCATCTTCTGGTCGGTCAGCTTTCTCTCATATGGCTCTCATATGGTTGTTATGCTTGCTTGCTATAGGCTCCAGTAGAAGCACCGGCATTCATCAAACGATGGGAATTGGGCGTGTGTAACTGAAAGGACTCTCCGCTTGGCAAATGAAAATTCACGCTTTTGGCGTTTTTAGGACAAGAAAAGAAAAATGTTTTGTTTTATTAGAAAAAACTGACCCTTTTTCAGCCTGCAGTAGTTCTGTATTTGCGTTGGCCTATCTTACACATGCGCGCAGCCTGCGAGGTTGGCTTTCGAGGCTAGAACACACGTTGATTTGCGCTACGTAAGTTTAAAACGTGACACACTCTTTTGGAACTTAAGGACTGATTTCCGAGATTGGCTCCTTGTAAATGATAGAGACGAACTGAACGCGCTCATGCACCAAGGAGAACGCAGAATCGAACCGTTTCGTGTCATTGTCTTCTCCAAGTCCGGGTGGCAATTTCAGTAAGTATTGTCTCTGCTGCACTCCGGTCTTTCTTATTCCATTACTTTCTTGGCCTACGGTTATATTCCAAACCTGTTCTCATGAGACACTTATTCGAGACAGGTTGCGTTGAGAGTGCAAGCTAGTGCAGCGTGAAAGGTGCAAATTGCCACCCGAAAAGAAGGAAACCTAAAACCGCTTTTCCCCAAATCCGTAACGTTCTACTCTCCATTGCGGAAAATAGACATCAACAGTAGAGGTACAGTTGACTCCCGATAACTCGAACCAAAATCAGCGATTTCCCGTGTATTTCCGTCAAACATTTACTGTAATTTTACCCTCGGTTCACTCGGTAACTCGAACCTCCCGCTAACTCGAAGAAGTTTTTTTCCCCTCAGATCATTTCTATATAATTTTACCCTCGATAACTCGAACCATGTTTTGAGCCCTTAAAAAGTCGAGAAAAGACAGTCTACTGGCGTCCAAAACACTGAATTTTGAATTTCCCATTGACGTGCTGCAGGCATATAGTTTACTACTGGAGGCTGATTTGGTTTGTCACAAATCTAACGTGAAACAGTTTTACGCCTCAAAACAGTTAAACACATGCTCTGTTCAGGCAACATTTTGTTTCGTTACGTTCCGATTTATAATCTACAAGCATCTTTCAATTTTCACTTAACATTTCTACCATTAACTGTGATTAAAATGTTCACTGTGCAGTAAAAACTGTTCTTTTCCGCTTACTCCCAGCTATTTTCTTCGAGCTCCCGATAACTCGAACTTTTGTCGATCTCCCTTGAAGGTTCGAGTTATCGGGAGTCGACTGTAGTTTTGTTTTACTTTTTTTCTATCTTGTTGTGTAGTTTCCGGCCATGTCCACTCGAAGATAACGAGCAGTCCTTTTTCATTCAGTCGAGTCTAGGCTGCGCATATTTCTCTTTTAACATAAAATACAATGGCACAGTCGGTTCAAAGTTTAAACACGCATACAAACTTATGCGGCTGTGCTGTCCGCACGTTTACGAGCTTATCCTCTCTGGAGACTGCATTTGCGTAGGGAAGGTAAAAACGCAAAACATTTTATGTATTTCAACTTAACCCGGCCCTTTCACCCCTAACACTAACAGTGGCCAAAGGGGGAAAAATGCTGAGATAGTACTAGAGAAGAGCCCTGTTAAAGAGGTTTCATGTGAAATGTTAAGCCATAGTAATTCGTCCAAAAGTTTCAAAGTTAGAGCAACAAAAAATCTCATAACATCATAACGTGGTCTAAGAGTGAAGGGGTTAAACGGACTTAAGTGTTAATACATAAAAAATACATAAATAATAATAATAATAATAATAATAATAATAATAATAAAAACAACCCCATCCTTTACCCCCAAAATCCAGGATAAAGTCGCACAAAGGCTTAAGTCCAGTATTTTCCATCGTTGATCGGCGGGGAAAGTAGGTGAGTCTTGACTGCCCATTCATTTTGCCCAAAATCAAAGCCTCCCTAAACTTTGCCTAGAGATCGATAACCATCTGGTCTGCGGGTACTCTCAGCTGGAATGTTAACCTGTTAAGTTCATTGTATTATTTGTTATTTGCTTGGCCCCACTGTGCCTTTGTGCCATATACACCGACCTAGGGTTATTAAAAAAAAAGTTTTTCTTACTTAATTATATTTAATTTATCTTTTTAACTATTTCAACTGACGTGCGCAGGACTTCGGAGACAAACAAGTTTGGACAAAGTAGCGAGTTGCAAATGTTGGTTTAGTTTATTTACAAACTGATAAAACTAATTGCTTGCAGGAGAAATGAAGCCCCTGTGCCCGTGGATAGTCCGCGTGTTCGAGGGTTTGAGAAGGTTTTTTAGCCCGAAAGCAAACATGGTGAACGCAAATAAAGGTTCCGCTATTTGATCAGCAATGTTGAGAGGCAAATGCTGTTTGGTCAACAAATTTTCTAATGATGGTCTTGTTGTTAGATGACCTTTGCGGCACTTTTGTTTTAGTGGTTCTGTGTTAACCGGTTAATTCGACTTGACTTGGTAAAAACGAAGGGAACAAGTCGGAAACCGGTCGTTTCGATACAAACTAATGACAAGCAGTAAAAAAATATGGCACAAAATTTTGTTCACTTCAAGTATAGTTTGCCAGGGAACAAGAAAAACATTTTGGTTGAATATCTTCGTTCTTTAAGCCAAGTACGTGGAACTATGAACACCTCGAATAAATAAATTTTTATCGAAATGACCTGCATGCATGGAAACAACTTAGTATCGACACGACCGGTAACCGAGCAAGTCTCTTCGAACGGCAGGAATTTTCAAAGAATAATATTATTGGTATTTTCTGCATAGCTCTGATATCCAAATCCTGTCCAAAGGTCTAATCCTATTCTGAATTCGATTCCGAATCTTCATTGTCGCCATCATCAGAATCTTCATAAAAATCCGCGTTATTCATTTCGAGTTCATGATCAGTTATGTTCGTGAGCTTTTTATCTTTGCTTTTCGTTGGTTGCTCCTCTCTGTTCCAATCTTTCATCTTCGCACCCATCATAAAGTCGTCTCGTAAAATATTCCAAGTAGAAGACAAGTCAGGTTTTTCAGCGCGCTCATTTGCCTGAAACAAGAAAACGAAACGACAGTAAAAACGCTATTCAGCCCGGGATCAGGAAGATACTTCATTTCCGTATTTAAGACGCATCTTATGGCTGTGGAAATGACAGGAAGATTTCCCGTGTTGTAACGATCTGTTCATCCTAAAAGACGGGCCAGTAACAGCAGGTAAAGGGGATACAGTGTCCTTCTGTAGGTATGTGAAAAGGGTAATGGCAATAAGAGTGTAAGGGGTAAGGAATTGCGGGGGAGGGGGGGATTGGACCCCGGAACGAAGCCTACCAAGACTCCCAGGGCTATATGGCGACAATTTAACTAACCGTCAGGTGCGTAGCGTCCACATGCGAACATACGCCCGTGCGTACAACTGAAAGCTGGAAAATATTTTTTCCGAAACCCTAAATTTCAAAATTTTCCTGGGAAGCATGCCCCCCAAACCCCCCTATAGTTTGGAGCACCTTTTGCACGGTAACTTTTCTTTCCGTGCGTAAGCCGTAAAACTCTCACGCTACGCCCATGACTGTGATAATTGCAACAAGAAGGCCCTCTATCGATTTCTTTCGGAAGAAGTTTCCTTGCTGTAAGGTCTATCTTTCCCTTTTCTATAACAGAGTCTACCTTTCACTACAATACTGTATACTGAAAAGTAGACTCTGCAAGCAGGGAAGCAAAAATGTCACGGGAGGCGAATAAGCGAGTCAACTATCAAAGCCAATAGAAATCGAGCGTAAGCACTCTGATTAATTTAGCAATTTCTATTGCATCTTAGTGTAAGAGCACTTGCTGCAGATGTTTGTTTGTTTTTAGCAAGTATTTATCGGCGAAAACCCAGAGTTTCTCTATTCGCTTCCATAAGCAGATAGACGGTGAGATTCTCCTTTCCTTAATTACCGTATTTGCTCGAATAATAGCCAGGGGCGATTATTTCTTTTTTCGCATAAAAAGGGGGCGATTATTCGAGGGAATGCGAGTATTTCAAATATTGCTCACTGGAAGTAAGTCGTGACCCAAATATTTTGTTTTCAGTTTCTCATTAAATAAAAAAAAATCACATCAAATAAACTCAACATGGGCTTTTTAAGTGCTCCAAATTTACTTCCTTTATTGATTTTCAGAGCTTGAATCGTCACTGATCAGTTTTGCTAGCTATAGATCACTTGGCACTTCAACTTGACAGGGAGGGGATAAAATGAAGAGAAGATGGCGAGACGGGCGGGGGAGAGACGATTATTCGAGGGAGGCTATTATTTTATATATTTCCGTCAAAGGGGGGCGATTATCCGGGGGAGGCGATTAATCGAGGGACGGCTATTATTCGAGGAAATACCGCGGTAAACACGTCTACGATGAGCCTTAAAAACTGGGATGCTATTTAAACTTGGTAAACTAATTTGTAAAATCTTGTGCTAATTGTATGGTTTTTTCTGAACGTGCATGTTCGGGGGCGACGAGGAATAATGAGAGCTTAAGCAACAGCGTTTTTGAGCGACGGACGTCAACCGGAAGTGGACTTTTTGCATCATTGGGCAGTGGATTGGTTCAAACTCTCGGGCAAATCGTTTTTATAAGAGAAAAGAAACTCAGCAATGCAAATTTGTTAGAGTCAAGGCATATAAAAGAGAAGAAGGCCTCACTTCCGGTTGACGTGCGTCGCTCAAAAACGTCTTTGCTTAAGCTCCCTAATGAGGTGCTCACAACTCCACACATTCCAGCTCGAAAATTTTCATTATTCCATTTTTCCAGTCAAAAAAGCTCATTATTCTGTTCGAAAAAATCTACATTGTACTCATTGCGGACAAAGGAAATCGTTAATCCATTACTCCCCAAAAGAGGGTATTATTCCATTATTCCAAAACAAAAATTCAGTTATTCTCATTCCAATATTCCTGTTCAAAGCCCGAGCATGTATTATTGGCAATAGAGCACAAAATATAGTGCATTTTGTCTTCAGAACGAGAAAAACGTCATTTAGCCCAACTAGGTTCTTCGGAATTAAAAGAAAACAACAGCAACAACAACAACAATACAGCTTTAAAATAATTATATACATGAATACATTTGTTGCCGATGAACATTTGTCTACAAGATTCTGCACAATTTCCTGTAACCTTTATATCATTAATACACACAGAAAATTATATTCAAAAGGAAGTTTAAGAAAGTTTTTGGAGATTTAAAGAGGCGGTACCCACTTGTGTATCATAACACTAATTACCTTAACTTGTTCCTTGTTAATTTCCTGAGTCCTTGCTTTGTCTGAACTACTTTTTAGCATGTCAAGAAAAGCTGATTTGGACATCGATTCTACAACTTTGAGAACAGAAAATAAAAATTACATTATCAATGAGACCTAAAAAAGATTAATTACGACCACTAAAACCCAGGAAGGAATTTGTAAGACCAAGGTCTATGATTTGGGAAGGAAGTCCATAAGCTTATGTCTAAGTTAATTACGACTGTGGTTCAATTTTCCTTTGTTTTGGGTATGGCAATGTATAATAATAGGTTTGAAACACAGAAAGATAAAATTTACCCATGGATAAAATTGAACTGCAACATATATATAATGCAAAATGAATTATCATCCCAAACGTTTTCATTTCATTTCATTTCATTCTGTAGTTCTGCACATTCTCATGTGAGTCCACAGGTAACCCAAGCTATGTGATAGTACCACAGTACGGTTCCAGTAAAATTACAGTGTTTGTACGGGTTAAAAAAACATTGTACGATCCTAAAATTTGTAGGAAACACTAAATAAAGGTGTGTCTAAACCCTGGGCAAGGCAAAAAAAAATTGTTTTGAAAAATCCTAAGAAGATTATAATTATATAGCACTGTGCAAAAGTTATTCCATAGAGGTCTCATTTGAATGGTAACACCAAAGAATTTCATCCACAGATTAAAAAGTTAGTGCGACACAAAACCTTGCGATAATGTGCTCTGGGCAGGGCTGGTTGTTTGAAAGGTAAATATCACCATACAGTGGATAAATCACTAATAACTGGATAACACAATTATTGATTTCCCTACTACAGTGATTTTTCCGGTGGACAGCGCTATCCAATGTTTGAACAACCGGGGCCTGGAGTGAAAAGGATATCTATACATTGTACATCAAAGCCTAGGCAGGGGCAACTACTTGGTCCCTTGAATGTGAACTTGTCAAAAGATATGCAAGGTCACACAATGAACTTCCTGCACAAAGATTCTTGAAGGATCTCATCCTAATTCTTTTATGAGATAAAACTAATCTAAACACATTGATTTCCTGAGAAAATATGATCGAAGTCCTGGGGGCATAAAGTACTCACTGGTATGTTGAATTATTAGTTAATCTTTCCTCTGTTTTAAATCTGCTGAGATGTTTGCATGACACTCTAAGTTCACACCGAAAAAATAAATACTGGTAACAGAGCTTTAGACAATGCAGTTTTGAGAGAAATGAGGATCACATGCATACCATTTCATATGCCAAATGAGAGAGAAAAATGGCTTCTTATTTAAAAGCAGGCCTCTATGTCCCCTGGCCACTCATTATTCAGGACCCTCACCTTTGGATTTTTTAGCCTCTGTAGGAGCTGAACTCAATTTACTTTCCACTTCCTTCTGATGTTTACTGACAGCATTAAAAAGCTTTACAACTGAAAAAAGATTTACAAAAATAAAAATAAAAAAAAGAAATTAATCTTTAATCCCAATAACCATAACTATAACAAAATTCTCTAATCTGATTGGTTCTCCGCAACCTGATTTCAGCATTAATAGGACAGTGTAATTAGACAGTATGCGACATCAGCATCCACTTGAATAGTCTGCTTTTTGTTTTACTTCTACCAAAAAATGTTCAGATGATCTTGTTCTTTAATTATCACAAATTTATTCACAGTAATGAATCATTGGTAAAAAGGATTCATGTTGCCCAATTTGGTGTGTAATCATACTCATGATTAAACGAATTGGACTCCTACTACATTGTTGTCTAATAGCCTACGTTCAATGTATTAAAATTCTAGCCTGTATCCGAGGCTTTCAGGTCATATTTCTAAATTTCGTTTGATTTTCTTTGTGCTCACATCTCTTCTGGGAATCACGAGACAATGGAGTTGTAAAAACATTTGCAATTTTGACCCTAAAGCCTGGCAGTCATGTTAGAATTTTAATATATCGAACAGGGGCTATTTTGTTAATCACTCATATGATTACAGACCAGATTGGACTGATCCACTCTGTTTGTTAATATCAAATCACAAGCATTGCAGGTTTTACATTAATATTTTTTAAAATCTAGAATGGATTTTTTTAATCTGAAAAATGCAAACACCAAGCAGGTTCATTTAGAGCAAACATCTATCATCCAGGTTTAAAGAATGTGTCTAGCAAGCAGTTACCCTGTATAGCAATCGTTAATACACACACCATGGGGACAGACTGAAACGTCTACTTTACAGAGGTGGCAACAGGATGAGAGAATGATCGAGGTAGAGAAAGTACATTATGTTTGGTATTTTTGAGACCAACAGAAGAAGCACAGGATCCAGACATTGTCACAAGGAGGAGGACATGTTAGGGTATAATTCCAACAAGTGACATGGCCTTGAAACAGCGACACAGGACAGCAGAAATGACAAGAAATGACACAAAGATAGGCCAAAACTGTGACAGTAACAGCGACAGAGAAAATTGCAAATACAATAGTAAAATATTGACAGCAACATGGCTTCCTCCTCAATACGAAAAACAACAAGTTTTGAAATTCAGACTGGGGACATATGTAATCCCTCTAAGAGGGCCTCAAGGAGGTACTTGAGAGGAGGTGGAGGCCCTGCAGGCCTCATAGACTATCAGTTTTGGTGTAATGGAAGGGGTAAGAAGGGCAGGTCCCTCCCCTGGGTAATAAACTAGTTACCGAGAACTGACAACGATGATCCATATTAATGAGGCCCTCTAAGGAACGGTACGTACAGTATGTTCCTGGTCTGAATTTTAAATACAGTTGTTTTGCGTTTTTAATAGTAGGCCATGTCCCTGTTGGTATCTTACCCATCAATATGTCGTTTGTTGCCATTTCATCTATGTCACTGTTTCTAGGCCATGTCACTTGTTGGAATTGTACCCTAACTGGGCCTTATTAATGGTACTGACATCCCAGGGGGGGGGGTAACTCCCAATTTTTAATTTTGTGATTTTTTGGGGAAGGAAAATTTTGGCACGTATTTAATTAGGTACTTAAAACAATCTGAAGATTTGTGATAGTTCCTGTGTATCCTGGCCGCGTAGTTTCGGGAATAAAGTTAAAATCAAACTTGTTTTGCGACTGTTTTATGACCACCAGATGCAAAAAAGGTTCTTACTCCAGATGGTGCAATGAATAAACAAACACAAACATTACATTACTAATGTCTCTAGTTTCTGTATTACCTATATCAATTTATGCTTTCTGGAAATGTTTATGGCTCGGAAATTCGGCCTGGGATTTTTTAGGGGTTATATTTTGGTCCAGGGATTTTTTTGGGTTTTGATTTTTGCCCCCATTTTGTCCCATTGAAATCAGGAGTATCCCCCTAGGATGGAAGTTTGACAGCATCAGGCTGTACTCTAAGAAGGCATTCATTTTTCGGTTCAACAGGGAATAAACTATATGACTGATAATCTGTATATATAACCGATAAAGGCATATTGACTGACTGTACTGAAGGAAAGGTTTCAGCTTAGAACTGACCCCAAACAAGTTTAAACTGACTAAACTCAAAACTGAGAATACACCAAATTCCCTAAAACTGGCTCAGGGGGATAAGCTGGTGGAATTTTACAAGAGGACTTTACTTTCTAATGCATCATTACCTCCTCGAGTTGCTATTTTCACCAAATTTTTTTCATAATCCAACGTTGAACCATCTGGTTTGACATGATCTTTTTCACGCATTGCATGACGTTCTTGGCTTTTCAACTGAAAGAAAAAAGAAACACCAAGACATCTTTTAGTGATAAATTTTCATTTTCAAATCAATCATAGAAATATTTAGCAGGGCTTGAAATAACGGCCGGTCAACGGACAATGTCTGGTCAGAATCGAGCATTGTCCGAGCAAATCCGTGGATGACCGGACATGTTGTCCGGTCATTTGGGCTTTCAAAGAAAATTCAATTTTGAGACAATCATGATGGAAATTTATTCAATCTTATCATGTTCCCAAAAAAGATATTAACTAGAGGGACTTTTGTTTGTGAAATTGATGACATTTCCTGTTGTCAGTCGCGACCGCAAATTGGCTACTGCTGTGCGTGTTGTAAAGTGCTCAAGATTGCACGCCCCGCTGCGCCGAAAATAACCCGCATAGCATCTGGTGCCAACAAGAGCGAAAAAAAGAAAGACCCAGAGTGACAGTATAATGAATTAGGCCACCCTCTTGCTCCAATAAGACTTCACAAATGTAACATTAAAATAAAAGGCTTTGAGTGTTAATGAAGTAAACATAAAAATAGAGTTTGTCTTTATTTCGCCCTGTCCGTAAATTTGTTGCGTGTTTATCACTAAACGACTAATTCACAAGGTTAACTCAACATTCATCACCCTGTTCTCTTTGAAATACATTATGTATAAGTTTTAACGCATTCAAATGCCAATGAATGCCCACTACCACGATTTTTTGTGCGAATGGCGATGTTACTTCGGCCAGCAGGTTGCGCTGTAGGATACGATTATTTTCATTGCGCAATGTGTAAGTGATGTAACGGAGAATTTACAAAATGTATATGACACTCAAAAGAAACGTTAACCAACAAAATTATATGAGCTGAAAGTTCATGCTCCCCATTCTAAAGACATTCTAAAAAGCAATTCTATATGTAGACAAATGAGAAATGTATTTCTGGAAATCCTGAACAAAGTGCAAACAGTAAATAAATGAGTTAAATCGGAAGCATGTGGACATAATCATCAACATCTTGAAATGCCCTTTCCAGTGCGTCTGGGTGTTCCCTTATGATTTCGGAAAATTCCACTTGTGCAAGTTTTTGTCCTCGGATGTCTAAAAGGACTTTCCCACTACTATATTTTAGGAGTTCGATCAGTGAACTAGGCAGGAAGGCTTTAAACAGACTGAATATATCGGATTTCCAGTGTTCGAATGCAATTTACACACATAGACGCTACGCATTCAACAAATCACTCTGAAGTCTAGATTTGCATTCAACCGAACGGTAGAGTAAACTTGTAAGTCAGGATTATATTACATAGTTGTATATTAATTTACATTCCGTTTAATAGCGTTTATTATCGTGTTAATTGAGAGATTGATTTATTGAACCAAACGATTTCACAAGTTTATTTGCCCGTTTGAAATTATTTGTAGAAACAAAGCAGCATTTGCTAAAATGTAAATTTTGTACTATAAAGTTGACGGTTATGTTTTGTTAGTGATTTGGTCAGGTTTCAACCAAACGTTAACGATGAGGTTGTGTCTTGCAATCCACGTGTCTGACTTACAATGTAACAGAACAAAGAGTACTAAAACTACAACTTCTAATTTTTTGCACACTCGATTTGTTTTCAGTAACTAGAGTTGCTGTTGCTGAAAATGATACAGATCATGTAACTTGCAAAATGGAGCCTCTATTGCAACTAGTTAAGATGGATTAAATTTGTCCGGCCAAAAATGCCTATGTCCGAGCAAAGTCACGTTTGACCGGACAATGTGTCCGGCGCCTGCCCAATAGTTATTTCAAGCCCTGTTTAGATATCTTCATTTTTCAATGACACTTTAACTACCTTCTTTGAAGCTCTTTCCTCCTTTATCTCTGCTCTGCGCTTTTCAACTTTTTTATACTTCAGTAATACAGGAGGCTAGAAAACATAGGATAAAAAAGTAACAATAATTATATATTCTTCTTTGATTACTGTAAAATGTAAATTAAAATAATAAATTGCTTGTCAAATGATGAATTATGCCTGGCTTCAATAAGTTACCTCTAAACACAATGGCCAACTTGTTTAAATAAGTTGTATCCAAACATTTTGCTTAATTCAGACAGTGAGAATTGAAAATTGCACAAATTTAGGAAAACATGGCAATGACCACTTAAAACATTGAAGAAGGTTTAAGTAACACTGACAGCTTATTCATAAGAAGCCACATAATGGTAGGGCTGCACTCATACATGGATATGTTACAGGTCAAATTTGATGTCGGGTTAAATTCTTTTATTGAACCTACAATCGGCGACAAAAGTGTTGAGACATTGTACTTAAATAGGGTAACTTCAGAGAACAAAAGAATCTGCACCCCTCCCCTGTCCCCTACATTCAAAGTTGGGGTGTTTGTTGTTTTCTGTTGGTAGCTAGAACAAGGGCACAACATTGCACGGAGGGGATGGGGGAGGAAAGCTATATTTCTCCTTTTGAAGTTAATAAAACGTAAAAAAAGCCCAGTTTTGGGCGAAGTGTCTCAACTCATTTTGTCGGCGATTGTAGGTTGAGTCTCAATTTCCTTTGTCTCCTAGTCCGAATTATTCATGAATTAGGGCAAGGAAACAAAGGAAATCGAGAATCAACTTGGGTTGCCTCACGATTAACCTGAAATCAAATTTGACCTGTAACGTACAGGCATGTAAGTACACCCTAATATTCTTTATACACTGTATGCGATATTTTCTTTTGAATATTGGTATTTAAACAAGATATCCATATTGCGACATTACGATAAAGTAAAATACATGCCACATTGAAATATTATTATTTATTGAGGCTGAGTATATACCTGCCAACTCTCACGCCTTAGGCGTGAGTCTCACGCCTGCGGACCAATTTCTCACGCCTGATTGAAAAATGTGAGTTGTTGCCGTCTTGCTTGACACAATTTCCAAAAATATGTTAACTCAGACCCATGTAAGGAACGAAAACCATGTGTAAAATGAATAAATGACAATACCTTCCTCGTGATCTCTGATTTTGTGGATAAGCGTTTTCTCGATAACTTCGCCTTCAGCAGACTTCGGACGTCTTTGGAAGACTTCGGACTTCTTCGGGAATCTTCGGAAATGATCGTGTCGTTTTCAAAAATCCCAGCACTCCCAGGATAAAAATCTCACGCCTACATCTCAGAAAAAGTTGGCAGGTATATGAGTATAATGTGAAGAATTACGCAGAACAAAGAGAATACTACATGTATCTACTAAAACTGAAGGCCAAGGTAGATAACATCCTCTGAGATCTGCATACACGTAATTCTTCACATCATACGAAAGCCAAATTCAGTTGTTTTCTTATTCATTAAAGTTGGAGTTTTTAATCCTTTCACATTCTTTTTGACTCATTTGTATCTAATATATTATTACTTTGAGTGGAGTACCTTCAGACTGGCTTGGAAGCTATGTACACTTTTACTTTTTCAAAACAAACCTTTCATGATACAATAGGGCCATTTATACGAGGAAAAATAAGACGCGAACTGTACCATTTATACGAGCATGTCTTATCTAATAAGACGCGTCTTAGCTAAGCCGCGTCTTATTTTAGACGAAATGTGCCGTTTATACGGAAAGTTCGCGTCTTATTTTTCCTCATATAAATGGCCCTAATGTTCATTGTACCTTATTCTCTGGAAGGTCCTTTTCAAGAATTCTTGCCATAGCATCTGCCCAGCCTTGATTAGTGCTTTCATCCCCACCTATGAAGTAAATCATTTCCAATATTCAGTAGAGTCTCAGACTTCCAACGCCCAAGAGGGAAAAGTCTTGACTTTCTGAACCTAGAGCTGCGAAAAGTAGTGAGAAATGGGAAAAAGTCACGAGAGATGTCTTCATTTTCTTGTGGAAGGACTGCCAGCAATGATAATGGGTGGTAGATGTCACGTATCACTTTTTTAAAGGTAGAGTACTAAACATCACGATCAGTCTTCTTCTTTGCTTCTGACATTCACACGTTTGTTGGCAGACATCTTGAAATAGGAGATTTAGGTTCCTCTTAAGCTAATTTGCTTGTTTTGCACTGCACATCACCTAAGTACTGAGCATAACATTGTGAATTCAAAGGTGGTGGCATTTTCACTGGTCGCCGAAAGGGGTAATTATGGCCCCTTTTGTAGTCCTAGTACTTTTAACGGCGAGTTTGATAATATTGTACACTGGTAAAATTAGGTGTTTGTCTTGAAACTCGCTTCAGCCCCCTCACAGAAAATGATCATTTGAAGCTGAAATTGTCCCTTTGTCGTTGTTTTGCGATGAAACGAGACCGGTGACCCCCCTTTTTATTAGAGTTTTTTACTGGTAATGGCTACACAAAAAATATATTGTAGGGAAAGAATCTCGAAAGTAGAAGTTGTATTTGTTTAGATATAAATGACATGAAATTCTGCATTTAGACAAAATCGGGTAACTAAAGGTCACTTAACTGAAAAAATATAGCCCAGACAAACAAGTGGGCTTAAGGTTTTAGTAAGATTCATAGTTTTTGCCTTAAAATAAGAATTTTTGGCGGTTGTTTAAGTTTTGAACATTTCGGGCACAACAAGGAAAAAACCGTGAGAATTACAGGAACACAAGGTGAAAACAATCACGGTGACCCCATCTTTTTATTGCAGTTTTTGAATGTACTATATATATGGCTGATATTTGTGCCAAGTTTGAAAAAAACTGGATAGTACATCATTTTCAAGGGAATTACCTTAACAGTGAGTCTGTGCATTTAGTGATATCGGCGTTCTCTTTAATGAGTTTGCTATCTAACATGGACATGAACCTACAGATGCTCCCAAAATGTTTTCTAGTGTGACTTTTTGAGAAAGCGTGAGAAATCAGTTGTCAGCTAGTGGGAGTGTAAGATAAATCGTGAAATTGTGAGACTCACGACAATGTCGTGAAACTTGGCTAAAGTCTTATTCTTTATCTTGAAGAGTAAAAGGACGAGGTCACTCCAAATACACACTGCTTTATTCAACTTTACTTGTCTGGAGTGCGTATTACGCCTGATAAAATCTCTGGTTTCGAGAGACATAACTGTGGAAGAAACGACTTTTGGGCACTTGCCCAGTCACAACGGTAACTGGTCATTTCGCCGCGACCCGGTTACTTAACCCCCTATTTTCGAGTCATTTAGCGAGCTTTAGATATAATACTCCTCGTTCTATAAGCCGTAAAGCAAAACAAGTGCGCTTCAAATGTAATACACTGAAACCTCTATTAAGCAGACACCAATACTACTATTGTCAATTCAGTCCGATGTCCGCTTAATACAGGTTTTTAACAATACACACAGGAAAAAATAATGGATTCCCATTTTTGGATATTTTTGGGTATTTAAAGAATACCCATAAAAATCCCAAATTTGGCAAAGCGAGACAAGTCCCAACCAGGGAATTCCCAACCAAGTTCCCGGATTGGGACTTGTCTCACTCTTCCAAATTTGGGATTTTTGTGGGTATTCTTTAAATACCCAAAAATATCCAAAAATGGGAATCCGTTATTTTTTCCTGCAAATTAGCCAAATACGATTTATTTTAAGTGTCCGCGTCCGCTTAATAGAGCTGTCCGCTGAATAGGGGTTCGTTATAAAGAGAAATATAAGACGTTAATTTCGGGACCCGGCTTAGTGTCCGCTTAATAGAGGGTGTCCGCTTAATTGGGGGTTCGCTTAATAGAGGTTTCACTGTATTCCTCGTTCTTTAAGTAAACCATGCACGTGTAGTAATTCTTCCTATCGCTTGATCAGTTTGAAGCTACCTGTTATTTTGCATCGATTTTATCTGATCATCGAATGGTTTCGAGATTTATTGCTAGATTTTCCTTACCATAGTTCTTTTTTAAATCAAACAAACGATTATTTTGTTTCCAAGGCTCACCTGTATTCTCCATTCCGTCGTCCAAATCTGAACGTGTCGCATCTTTCGTTTCGACCGCCATCTTGTTTTATGGTAAGTACTTCATATATGATTCCTATAGTATATCTCGGTACACTATAGAAATCATATATGAAGTACCTATACTTTTACTCAGTCTAACAGCTGTCCAAATATTGCAGGCTCGGTTATTAGTTTAACCAGGGAGCCACGAAAAAACGCGCGAGCGAGCGGCGAAGGCTTTTCCCACCCCTCACACATGCGTCTCCTTTCGCGTGCGGCACTCCCCTGACTTCTCGCGACTCCCCCAAATAGAGAGAAGTCGCAGTCTACCATGGTTTTATCCCACAGTTAATCCCGGTTTTATCCCATAGAAAATGGCAGGGGCGCCCTGTCGAAGTGATTTGATTATTCCATTTTTCAGGTCAGATAAACAATCACCCCGTACCCAAATTAGTTTTTTCATTGGGGTGTTCCTGATAGGGAAACCCCAAACGCTAATCTGCTTCTGACAAATAGACCTAGAGACCAGTCTGTTCTTCAGTTGATTTGGATGTTTTCATTTCATGTACGAGCAATATGCACAGCGGTAGACTGATTTGTACTGCGGGTGGAAAAATAAGGGGGGGCAATCCTCCCCTCTGATCCACCACTGTCTCTGGGGGGGGGGGACTCGGTATGAAAGGGGTGGGGATGCGGTCGTCTCGCTTAGGGGTGTAAATTTCGGATTTTGGTCTCACTTAGGGTGTTGTGGGCAAAACGCCATCATATTTAGCCGTGAAGGTCTCGTTTACGGTTGCACGCGAAAAAATATAAAAATATTTATTATATACATACTGAGAAATACTCACCAAAAAGCTATGTCGTAAATTTTCGTACGCAAATTAGTTATAGCCAATCAGAGGAGCGAACGATGGTTTTCACACGTGAAAAAAACGATACGTCCAATCAGAATCGCGAACGATGTTTTTTCACGTGTGAGAAAAATGATACGTCCAATCAGAAGCCACAGAGGTGTAGGAGTTTCGCGCCAAAATTCCCGCCTTTTATTGCAGCTTGCAGCGCCGCTTCGCACACATTTATCAACGAGAAAAGTTTTACTCAAGGAGTTTTTCTCGCTAAAAAAGTGAAAAACATTTCGGAAATGGAGTGGAATAGTTTCGTTTGTTTCACTGTCGATAAAAAAATACGGTAGAGAGCCGGTGAAACAACAGCGGAAAGGGATAAACAGAACGAGACGTAAGCTTTTGTTGTGCTTTTTGTCGGAGCTACTTTGCCTTTCATTTAAGCTTAAGCTTATATTGAAACCGGCCATTTTACTTAAATTCACTCATTTTCAATTGTGCATTGAGAACAAACAGTTAAGATTACTTATAGTTCTTGGATTAAGCCTCATATCCTCACCGTCATTTATGTTTTTAACAAACGTTTTTACTAAAAAGCTGATACTTCGTTTTCGTTGTCATTTTGCGGTAAGTGTGTAGCGGCAAATTTTAGCATTTTTGAAAGATTTAAAATAAAAAGGCCCGCAAAATGATGAATGACTCAGTATGTATATAATAAACACAATACCACATGGAAAGTGCTTTGTACGGTATTTACGCACTCGTTGTTTTTGTATCAGAAATCTTACTCGTTCGCTGCGCTCACTCGTTCGATTTCTGATACGTCAACAACTCGTGCGTAAATACCGTACGCCAGCACTTTCCATGAAGTATTCTCTATATATTTGATGTGTATGTTTTTTGGTCTCTTTTAGGGGTCAAAAAAGCTTGTGCCACTCCCAAATCGGTCTCCTTTAGGGGTTTAATTCAAAATTTCCGACGAGCATTAGGCCTTTCCAGATTCTGCTCCGAAAAAGCTAAAAGTTGGTACGAAATATGCCAAAAGTTGCTCAAAAGTTGATCAAAATTGAAAAAGTTGCTCAAAAATTTTGTAAAGTTGCTCGAATATTTTTAAGACAGCATGTCTAATTTTAATAACAATTGCTTTGTAATCAACATTAACTTACAACTAAGTAACTAGTTACAACAAATTACGCAACCTTTAGTTGAATCTAAGTGGCTAGTTACAAAAAGTTAGACAGTAAGTGTAACAATCTGGTTTACAAATCTTCGTCTTCGTAAGACAACATGGGTACGTGGCGTCCGCCATTTTGTTTACACACAGTCCACAGGAATATCCACAGGCTACCCCAACCTCGTTCCCAGGGATTTTCCCTTCTCGTGGGTAGACAGCTCACCCACGAGAAGGGAAAAGCCCTGGGAACGAGGTTGATGCTACCCAAACCCATTCCCAAACCCAATTCTTGTAATTAATTACCACGTCCACATGATCCCCATTCAAAGGGTAAAAATATGAGTTTTACTAGAAAGATGTTTAGAATTTTAACCAAGAGAATTTTTACTTGTTTATTTTTTAAAAAAGGGGTTATTCAGCATTTTGGTTCAAGATAGCCCAAAAGTTACCAAAAAAGTGCTAGTTTTCCGAAAAGTTGCTAGAAGTTGCTCTCTGACAAAAAAAGTTGCTCAAAATCCTAAAAGTTGCTAAAAAGTTGCCGAGCAGAATCTGGAAAGGCCTAACGAGCATCCCCACCCCTTTAATATGCGGAGTCCCCCTAGCTTGGGCCACTGTCTTGGACACTCTTTGTAAAATAGCATTAGTTGGACATTCAAAGACAAAATTGGAATTCAGAGCCTTGAAAAAATATAAAACTAGTGAAAAGGAAATGCATGTGCAAAGCGCTGATGTTGGCATTTTGACGCAATGCCTCCAACCTCGTTCCCAGGGCTTTTCCCTATAACGGGGACACTTGTGGTTGGCTGGGGCCTCGACCCCAGGGCTTTGCGCGGGTCCCCTTTGTTCATTTCCAGATTATTGACTTGAAACTGTAATTCCGTTTAGCTACTCTAATGGCATTATCTGTTTCGTTTTGTGCGTCCTTATATCAGTTGCCAAGTCGTCACGTCCCCCGGGACGAGGCTGGCATGTCTCGTCCTAGGGAACACGTCTTTACTGTCAGTCTTGATTTGGTGACGTTATATCGGCAACATAAATAGAAATCAGGAGCCCATCATTTGATGGGCTCCTGTAGTAGTTTATTTTGCAACTATGTGGCCCTGCATGGCAGCTGCCTATAAATTCGAATTTAATTGAATCCGGATCTTTCATAATAAGAGTTGAGTAGTGAATTTCGAATTAAAACGCTGCCAAAGTTTTAGCTGCGCTTGCTGACATATTTAAACAACGGATAGTTCTCTAGGGAGTAAAGTCTAACCAAGTTCCAGTGTCCAGTCATGATTTGTGGCCTTTATGTAACCGAGTGGCGCGAGTAGTTTTACACCCCAGTACTGTGAAATCCACCGTCGGTCTCTTCGCAGACAACGCCGTGATTTATTTAGCCATCACGGATGATCAGTTGTATCCATTTATAACAAGATCTTTTAAACCTAGAGACAAGGAATTGGGAATCAGCATTTTCTTAATCTCATTTCTAGACCCCTCGTCAATTTTCGCGAGGAGAAGCGCGGGGAGGGGATCCCCACTCGCGAGCCACTCGCGAAAGAAAGGGGACCGAGTGGAGTCTGGACCTAAGAAGAAACAGTATGGCGACCAGAGCTCCT